GTCTCCCTGTAGCCCCAGCTATCCTGGAACTCACTGTGTAGACTAGGCTGGCCTTGAACTCACAGAGGTCCACCTGCCTCTGCCTCCCGAGTGCTGGGACTAAAGGCATGCACCACCACGCCCGGCCTTTTTAATAGGAAATTTTAAAACTGCTTCATTTGTGAATATTTTGGGTTGTATTCTAAAAGGTAAAGACCCTGTGAAGTACATAGTTCCCTTAGCACACCTAAAATGAAAATTAACTCCTTCATATTCTCAAGTATCAATTCATTATACCACTTTTCTCTGCCTGTGTCATCATAGTTTGGGTCCAGCCAATATTTTTTCCTCAATAATGAATTTTCAGCCTTCCAGTTGAAAAAATATTCCACAAATTATCAAAAGCAATGCCTTTTCACACCACCAGTATATATTGAGAATTTAGGGATTGCCCCTGCAATTAATTTTGTGACAAATACCTAAATTTTAAACATTATGCCATATGTAACTAAACATGTTTGAATTATCAGAGGGATCTATTAACTTACTAAAGAATATTTGTCTAGAACAGTATATTTCTTCACTGGAGTACAGAAGTATGATGCAAGCACACACTCTCCAGAGTATTCCTCAAGCAGAAAGCTTCCTTGTTTGAATTTCAGCTGCTTTTTGACCTAATTGACTTTGTTTTGACCCTACTTACTAGAATTTCTTCTTTAGAACAGCATAATCTATAAACATAGCCTTTTTCTGAGTTGAAGGTAATTTATCTAACAAGTTATTTGTTTTTGTGGAAGTTTTTGTTTTTAACAAAACTAAATTTTCTGGTTCAGGATACAAATCAAGTATTTAAGATAATACCCTTTATATTATTTGCATAATTTGACCTGTATATATCTAAATGAGTAAGCATTTCCCGACCCTTCTCCCCTTCCAAATCATAAGATAGTTTTCAGTTTTTTTGTAATCTTTTTTTCAAGTTTAGCTGCTCAAAGCTGAGATACCATAGAAAGCATCTTCTTAACTTAGTTTATAATTGCTGTCTCTGTACTCATTTAGAATTTTCTGTACTCAAAGGGAAAAAAAAAAGTCTATCTGGTAGCTAGTTCCCTTACTCCAATTCCTTTGGTTGTGGGCTGTCCCTTCTTGTTAATCAGAACTGAGCTCCTCTTTATCTATGAATTTACCTCCAATTCATCTACTCCTGCTTTAGGATAAAGGCTCACATTATTTCTCATTTAATTATTTCCACTTGGATAAGGCTTTGCATTTAGCTGGGGTATGTGTATTATATATTTTTTTGATTTTTCCTTTTTTTCATGTTATATAATTATTTCTAGTATACTTTTACGATTTAGATACAGGTTCTTCATATGTATCCCTAGTACTTTTACTTAGTGCTTCTGTAAAAACTTGCTGGAAACAGTGTTCTTATAAATTGGCTCCTCACAGAGGTTATTACTGAGAATGGGTAGTGATTTATACAGAAGATAATGTTAATTTGCTTTAATCATTCTTTAAGTTATAATATCAGGGTTACTCAAGTTGAATTTGTATCACATAAGTTGCTTAATACTTTGTTTTCTTCGTTCAGATGTTTCAGCAGTATCCAAGGATGGCATATCCTCCTGTACATGGTCCCATGAGGTTCCCTCCTTCTTTATCTGAAACAAAGTAAGACTGTAAAACAAAGTCTATAAGGGATACATGCTTATTTAAGATTTTTTAGCTGGGTTGTAACAATTCATTTTTCTATTCTCAAAGGGACAATTGATGTTAACAAATAATTAGCTACCTTTTACAAGATTAAACTAAAATACTTTAATATTTGAAATTTTTAATTGACAAAAAAAGTCTGAAAACACGAAATCATGGCCCTAAAACGTTTCTCCTTTTTTCTTTCCCTGTTGGTTACCCCTTCCCTTTGAATGTGACAGTGTGCATCCTCTTATATGTTACTGTTTAATTTGAGGTTAATTTTAGTAGTAGTTACCATTAACATTTGTTTCATTTTAAATCTTTAAGAATTTTTAAAACTATTTAGCTACCAAATCATTGTTTTAATGATTTCTATACTTATGTGCCTGTATTAATTTTTTTGTATTCATGTCATAGCCAAAATAAATCTTGGTATAGAAAATACTAATGATGAATTGAAATAAACTAAATTCCAGTTTTAATTTTTTTTTTTTTTTTTCCCCTTTGTACTCCCGTTCACTAGAGGCCTTCGAGGACGAGGGCCTCCTCCTTCATGGGCTTCTGAGCCTGAGCGCCCATCCATACTTAGTGCATCAGAACTGAAGGAACTCGATAAATTTGATAACCTGGATGCTGAAGCTGATGAAGGTTGGGCAGGTAAGAAGCAAAATAAACACTTTAAATTGACTGGTATTTTAATTGTTTAAGATACCATGATAGGTATTTTTATGCGGTCAGTCTGAATTTCCATTAATTTAACAGGTGCTCAGATGGAAGTAGATTATACAGAACAACTGAATTTCAGTGATGACGATGAGCAAGGAAGTAGCAGTCCTAAAGAGAATAACAGGTACGTTTTGACATCTTTACTAAATAGCATGAATTTGTTAATAGAAAATAAAGCTATTTGTACAGGGATGCTTTATTCATAGCCAATTGTTCATTGTATATAGAATTTCTTCATTTTTCCTCCTAGGAGTTATGAGGCTGATTAATAATCAAATTAACACAGTGCAACTAATCAAGGGATTAAGGTTTGATGTTTCTCTATAAAGTACATTTTTTTAAAAATTAAATGGATGCTTGGATACTTGCCATCTAATTGGAGATAAAGTTTCTCGGCAATGGCATTATGATACACTATAGTTTCATGATCATTTATAAGATGCCTGTGATATACTGAGACTTTTTTAAAAATAACTTGATTTATCTTTCTTACTGAACTACAATAAATTAGAATGCAGTCAATGGTGTTTCCAAAATCATTTAATTGTGTTGATGGGATATTTTGAGAGGGTGGAGAAAAATTTCAGATGTATATATTCATTTATGTCAGGTGTTAGTATCCAGATTTGGCAGGTGTTGTACTGCCATGTTATACTTTGATAATCTGGACAAACTCAGTCCCCAGCTCATTGCAGATGCATTGCATATATTATTGAATGAATTAGCATCACCAGATCATAAACTTACTGCTTAATATATTTTCTTCCCCTGAAATGAAACAGAAAATTATTTACACAGAGAATTCGTTTGCTTGTATAATTCTTCTTTGCTTTTTTATCCTTCAGTGAGGATCAAGGTCCAAAAACTGAAAATACAGAAAACCAAAAAGAAGGAGATGAAGCTAATAGTACTAAATCATCTCAGATACCTGCTCAGCCACCAGTAGCAAAAGGTTCCTATGGGAAAGGACCCCCATTTAATCAGGTTTGTTGGAGTCATACAGATCCTTATCTGTCATTACCAGTAATACTGCAGATGAGTTTATTTTATGATCAGAGTTGGAGGGACTTAGAAGAGGGACTATGTGAGTTGGGAGGCAGATAGTTTTGTATTATTTTCTGGTAAATAGGCAAGTCAGGTCAAAGTGGAGGGATGATGTTTCTCCAAAGATGATATACTTTATCAGTTGCTAAACACTTTCTAAACCTTAGCCCTCATGAGTGAGAGAATAAACTGTCTTTGTAGAGAAATCATACATAGAATGGAGACCTGAAAAACGTGGGTTATTTTGGATAATATTATGAAAGAAGGGAAATATGTAGGGGAACAGGTATATTTTGGTCTCATTAATGAGTTGAGAAAAGGTAGCAATAGCTGTACCTCAAACTGAAAGAGAAGTCATATGTAAGAAAGTACATGTAATTAAATAAGGTTGCATGTATTTGAATTCATACAAACAGCTAGAGGAACATGCCCCTTCAGTTCGCTGAAAGGAAAGGAAAAATATCTTGTATCGGGTGCATACTGTGATTAGTGGCACTGGTAAGAGTACACATAGTAAGTAATGTAGTTGGATATGGATAGCAGAGCCAAATAAAAATCACTGTGGCTCAGAACGTAGCTCAGTGACAGTACTCTTGTCCAGTATGTGCAAAACTTTTTCATTCTCCATTTTGGCAGACAATAAATATAAATAAATAACGAAACACAAGAGAACTGTTGGTTTTTTGTTTTGAGACAGGGTCTTACTGTAGCTCTGACTTGCCTGGGATTCGCTGTTTAGTTCATCCTGCTTCTGCATCCCAGGTGCTGGAATTAAAAGTGTGTATCACCATGTCCAGCCCTAAAGATGGAACTCAGGATAACTGCTTCTTCAGCATAACCTGCTGGCTTGTGCCACCACAACTGGCTTATGTTTTATGTGCCATATAAGAGAATGTGGATTTTATTCTTAGCTTTAGTGAGCCATTGAACCCTGAAAAGGAAGGATTCCTCAAATAATTAATTCTTTAATAAAATTACTGTTTTATGTTACTTTTTCCATATTAGTATAATAGTGAAAATTCAGTGTATTGTGTGAAGGTCCTCACCTTCCACCTTTTTTGAGACCAGGGTCTCTTTTTGTTATTTGCCACTATAGGCATTCTCTTGTATCTGTTGCCATTTTGCTTAAGATTGCTGGATTGCAGATGTGTAGTCCTGTGTCTTGTGTTTTTTTTTATTGGTTCTGGGAATCTAAACTCGGGTCCTCATGCTTGCAGAGAAAGTGCTTTGTCCACGGAGCCATCTCCAGCCTAAGAATTTCTTAATGAAAAATAGTAGACTATGTAGCACTTCTTTTTAAGAGATTGGACTCTCCCTTGCCAGATCTCCTGGGTCAGAATTAGAGAATTACTCCACTAAAATTTTACTATTTGCAGAGTATGTCTACAACTCTAACCTTACTGAAGTGGCAGAGCGATTCTATAGAATGTAACTTGGTTGCGACTGATGTGCGTTTACTAAAATGAAGAAAGGATGCATGGGTTTTCTTTGAGCATACTTGTCGCCTCATTGAGAAAATTAGTACAATACAGTTGGAAATGCTCTGAGTAATATTTTCTTACCTGATTTTTAAAAATAATCTTCATAATAGGAACGTGGACCATCTTCACACCTGCCACCACCTCCCAAGTTGCTTGCACAGCAGGTAGATTTTAGATAAATGTTAATGTGTATGTTGTATTTTGTTTTGGCTTTCTTTTGTGAAATGGTGCTATATATTTATAACTTTTATGGAACAATTGTCATTTTTCCACCTTGTGACTTTTGAACATTTTCCTCTTCATCATTTTTTTGCTGAAAAACAAAAACCTAATTTTAGTTAAGGAATAAAAAGTGCCTTGGCGTTGTGACCTATTTCCATGCCGATGGTATTTATTCCTGTTGTCAAATCTTTGCTCTTCTCTTCAGTCAGTCCTCTGTCACTTACTCCCTTGTTATTATTGCTTTTAAAGACAAGCTGTCTCTACCCTGCTCTTCATCCTCTTGCAGCACATCTGTCCTTTTCTCTGTTTTCTATCACAGCAAAATTCTTACAGTGAGTTATAAAAACTTAGCTGGTTCAGTCATTAATTCACACATACACAAATAATATTTCCTGATACACATCTGACAACTTGTATTGGACTATATTAAGAAAAAGCACTATAGCTCAGTAATAAGGCAGATAGCTCAACAGAATGATTTGAGCGTCACAAAAAGAAACTGTGGGATGGGGGTCTGAAGAGATGGTTCAGTGGGTAAGTGCTTGCTGCACAAGCCTGAGGACATGAGTTTGAATACTCGGAACCCATGTAAAACTGGGAGTAATGGGAGCTATAGTGCATGACTGTAATCCCAATGTTCTAAAGCAAGGTGGGAGGTGGATACAGGAGATTCCTTAAAAGCTCATGGGTGTGTGTTATGACAACAAAGACACCCTGTCTCAGATGAGATGGAAGGCAAAGACTGGCACCTGAGGTTATTCTCTGACAACCTGTTTTGAGAGATTTGTACATATACAAATACATGTAAAACCACATATATACACACATCCATAAAACATATGGTCAGTAAGCACATGGAATGATATGCAATATCTTTAATAACCAAGGTAATACAAATTTACACCAGAATTTTTTTTTTATAAACCCATTGCTGTATATTAAGGATATAGAGCAGCTGGCACACAGACACAATACTGGTGGGGCTCAAAAACTGTTAACAGTGTAGAAAAGCAATTTGGCTGTTTCCTGTGAAGGGAAATATACCATACCACTTGAGAGTTTTACTCTTGTTTGTTCAAGGGGAATAAAAACATTTACAAAGACTTGTGCATGACTGTTCACTCTTATACTCAGTTTGAAAACTAAATGGAATTCAGGATAGACATCTGTCAAAGATGAAGGTATGTCCCTATACTGGAACACTATCCAGCAGTGAAAGGTATACAAAATCACCACAAAGAAGGTAGCACAAGAGAGAATGTAACTTCTGTGCTTCGGTGAAATTCTAGAACAGACAAAACTATTCAGCCTTAGGGTTAAGGGTACTTGAGGACCTTAGGTGAGAACAGAAGAGGAAGTTTATATATCAAGATACTGCCATGAAATGACTCTGCTTTTCAGTTTGCCTCTGAGCTATAGATGAAAGGACTACAACGGAAATACGTGGTTTGCTTAAGAGAGCCCTTTTGTAAATTGTAGTGCACATTCACTTTTTGAGTCTGGTGGGTCTTTTTGCAACAGGGTCTTCTAGCCTGGAACTCAGTGGGCAGACTAGGCTGTCCTCGATCTCAGAAATGTGCTTACCTCTGCCTCCCGAGTGCAGGGATTAAAGGCACACACCACCATGCCTCACGTAACTTTTTAGCTGTTCAATCCAACACTTTCATCATGTCATGTTCTCTCTTATGAGAATTCTAACTGAGCTGTATGTATGACTTTCAAGGCTTCTTTATGTTGCTAACTTAAAATCTGTATGGTTAAAAGGTTCAGGGTTTTCCTTCATGCTTTCACTCTTCATGTGCTTTTTTTCATGCTTATCTTTGCATAGTTTTCATTGGTGTTGTTAAACTTCTAGTCATGTTAATGAAAATTGCACCGTTGAAACTTGGATCACTTCAGTGATCCACTTCATTTTGTTCTGAATATAGTTGTGGGCCTACTTTTCTGAGCTTATGAGTCTTTTCTGAGTTCTCTCTGCCCCTCTGGGCTATGCTTTAGGAATTGCTTCTTGGGGGATGGTTTCTGTAGCAGCCCTTTTTCTCCATCTTATTCTTTGCTTCTGTTTCTTCTCTGTAGGTCTTTAATCTTCTCAGGACTCATGTGCTACATTTTACATATTTGAAGCTTTCTTTTCTACCCCAGGCATTCTCTGTTTTGTATGCAGGTTGCTACTAAAGCATCTACACTCTTAAATTTCCTTTGTCTGTAGATGTTGAGATTCATTGTGCTTTTTATCTTATTTAGAATGTACTGGAATAAGCAGTAATGTCTGGCACAATAAATAATATATGTATAGTATAGTCAATATTTGATGACCTAATTAATTTTCTGTTAATTTGGCGAATTGTATAGGCTTAATGTTTTCCACATATTCGTGTGTGTGTGTGTTTGTGTGTGTGTGTGTGTGTGCGTGTGTGTGCGCGCGCGCGCCTGTGTACATATGTATTATGTACCACTGCATGTGCTGTGGTAGGAGAATTCTTTTACAGACTTTTTCCCCACCTCTCCATGCTTATGGTATACAATATTGGTCAGAAATAGAGTTCCTGGGCTGATGAGATGACTCAGTGGCTAAGGGTGCTTGCTGCCAAGGTTGACAACCTGACTTCAATCCCTGGAACCGCATGATGGAATAAGAGAGCCCATTACCACAAGTTCTCTGACACATGCACACAGACACAAATGAATGATTGCAAAACTTTTTTCAAAATTTTCATCTGGTATCTTGCTCTTTCAGCATCCCCCACCTCCAGATCGACAAGTCCCTGGAAGACCAGGCCCTTTTCCTCCCAAGCCTCAGGTCCCTGATAATGATGAAATATGGAAGCAAAGGCGAAAACAGCAGTCTGAAATTTCTGCAGCAGTGGAACGGGCTCGTAAACGGCGAGAAGAGGAAGAGCGAAGAATGGAGGAACAAAGGAAGGCAGCCTGTGCAGAGAAACTGAAACGATTGAATGAGAAGCTTGGTATCATAGAAAAACAGCCTTCTCCAGAGGAAATAAGAGAAAGGGAGAGAGAAAAGGAACGGGAGCGGGAGAAAGAACTTGAGAAAGAACAGGAGCAGGAACGAGAAAAGGAGAGGGAAAAGGAAAGGCAGAGACAGCAAGAAAAAGAGAAGGAGCTGGAGAAGGAACAGGAAAAACAGAGGGAAATGGAGAGGGAAAGAAAGCAAGAAAAGGAGAAAGAATTAGAACAGCAGAGAGAAAAGGAAAAGGAACTACAAAAGGCGAAAGAGCCAGAAAAAGATAATGAGTTGAAGGAAAGAGAGAATGCAGAAGAAAGAGTAGAACCCAAGGAGGCCATTTCAGACCCTGCGACAGAAACAACAGAAGGTGAAAGCAGCTCTAATAAAGGTGTGGTGGTCTTTCATTCTTAATATTTTATTTATTTCATTGGATTTTCTTTTAGGGGTTTCTGCACTCTTAGGCATTGAAAACCATGTCCTATATTTGGCCAAGCACTCCACTACTGGACTGCATCCCTGAAGGGCTATCATGTTGATTCTTTATAAACTTTATATTAGCTATAATGTATGTATATTGTTAATGTAAATAATCAGAATTAAAGTAGTTATTTTAAGGTAGCATTTGCAATATAAATTATGGACTAAGGGCAATGTTTTCTAATTTTGTATTTGAATAAACATCTAAAGTGTTTCATAAAATTATTAAACAAGCTTCAGTTCTGCTCTGTTTATAAATTTTTATTGGCTTCATTGTGCCATATACTAATTGCTCCCCTAATTTTTTTTCAGAGACATTTAACTGAATATTTGCCTTTATACCTCAAAAACTGAACTGGAGTAGGCTTTAATGGGGATCTCAGATTACCATAGTTAAATGACTATACCAGTTCATAATTTCAGATTTGATTTTTCTACCAGTCTAAAGATACACATACTTCCATGGTTTAGGGCCTTGCTAAATTTACATTCAGGATTACCTTCAAACTCAGATTTTAGTTTTGTTTTTTTTTTTCCTTCACGTGTATGAGTGTATTATCTGCATTATGTAAGTGCCGTATCATGTAGAGGCCAGAAGAGGGCATTGGAGCCCCTGGAACTGGAGTTACAGCTGATTGTTAGCCACCATGTGGGTGCTGAGAACCAAACACAGGTCCTCTGCGAGAGCAGCCAGTGCTTTTAACTAACACTGAGCCATTCCTCCAGTCCCTCACATTTGGTTCTTAATGTAAATATACAAGAGTTAGTTAGCTCCAGGTCTGGTGACACATTCCCATAGTCCTAGCACTCTGGAAGCTGAGGTAGGAAAATCACCAAAAGTTCAAGGCCAGCCTAGGTTATATACAATAGTGAGACTTTCAATAGAAACAAATGGGCTAGAGATGATGGCTCATCCGTTAAGAGCACATTCTGCTCTTTCAGGGGAACTGGGTTCAGTTCCCAACACCCACATCAGAGATTTAAAACTGCCTATTACTCCAGCTCCAGGGGATCTAACACCCACTTCTGGACTCAGTGAAGATGGGATCCTCATGAATCATTTATTCAGTTAAGATTATCAGATGTCAGAGCTGGAGAGATGGCTCGGTGGTTAAGAGCACTGGTTGCTCTTGCAGAGGACCTGGATCCGATTCCCAGCACTTACATGGCAGCTAACCACCATCTGTATGTAACTCTAGTTCCAGGGGATCCAGTGCCCTCTTTTGACCTCCTCAGGCATTACACAACACAGGTGCACTACACTCATACACACTAAATTTGACTAATGAAAAGACTGATTTGAGTTTTGTTCATGGCTGTTTTTCTCCCTATACAGAGTTGAGTCTTATTAGTACAGTAGAATATAACAGCAACAGCAGTGATTTGTGGTTCTTTTGGGCGGGGGTTTTTTTTTGAGACATTTCCTGTAGCCCCAGCTGGCCTTGGGCTTCAGACTCACATTTGGCATGATTTGTAGTTCTTTACCACAGTTTTATCTTGGTGAAATAATTTGCTGTTGTTCTTTACTGTTTTCAATTTTCTTATAAAATTCACCCTTCCTTGTCTGAGAAAAGATTTTGTAACAAACATAGTTTTGTAATTGTGACCAGTATCATTCTCTACAATTGATATATTTTGCTTTCCTTGGGTTAAAAATATTTGTGTTTATGTCTATTTAGTGTAGAATACTTGTCACACCTTCATGAATAATTAACATTTCAGCATAACTGATGATCACTCTTTACCTTCATACTTCCTTAAATGCATTAGTTTTTTGTTGCAAAGTACTTAGTCCAATAAGAAAATAGATCTATCGTTTTAAAATATTCCTAGGCCGTTTGGTTTTCATGTAGGTTATGTGTGTAAATACTGATATTGAATATCTCAGAGTTCAATATCAGATTACCTTTATAGTTTTTCTGATAATCTAATACCTTGTTAGAAATAATGTTTTGGCATTTTATAGTGGGTGTTTCCTTATTAAATATTATCAAATTGTGTGATCATTTCATCATAGTACAGAAAGCCTGTATTTGATATTTTGCTTAACCATTTGTTTGAGCAGAGGAGGAGCCAATTTTCACTAGACAAGACAGCAATCGTAGTGAAAAGGAAATCACACAAGTGGTGCATGAAACAGAAACTGAATCAGGGTCTCAACCCCGACCTGCTGTATTATCTGGCTATTTCAAACAGTTTCAGAAATCATTGCCACCACGATTCCAGAGGCAGCAGGTAATAATAAAAACAAAAATATACTATGTATGGATGTGATTGAAAAGATTTATTGTTCTGTATTCTGATAATATAATATAAAAACCTAAAATACATAAAGCATAGAAACTCGTTGAATTTTTTTCTTTTCAGTACATTTGTTAGAGGATTTATCTTGAACTTTATCTCATACCTTTCTTCCTGCTTCATTCATAGGCACCTTAGGTTTCTAGAAAATAGATTTATTTCTAGGAAATGATTAGCTGCTTAAGTCAAGGGAAAATACTGTAATTTTTCCTTTGGTCTTTTACCAACTCTATTCTGTGTTAATTGTCTTTTCCCTTAAAGTTCTCAAAAGAGGATATGATTGAGATTTAATTTATCATGGAATAGAAATTTCAACATTATACTGTTTTTCAGGAGCAGATGAAACAACAACAGTGGCAACAGCAGCAACAACAAGGTGTCCTCCCACAGACTGTTCCTTCACAGCCATCTAGTAGTACAGTCCCTCCTCCACCACACAGATCTCTTTACCAGCCCATGCAGCCCCACCCACAACATTTGGCTCCTATGGGTTTTGATCCAAGGTGGCTCATGATGCAGTCCTACATGGATCCTCGAATGATGTCAGGAAGACCTGCTATGGATATTCCACCCATTCATCCTGGTATTTTGATATTGACATTGTGTATTGTACTTTTCAGAGTCCAGGTTCTTCTTGGGGGTTTTGTTTTTGTTGTTTTTCTCCCATTTTGAGTCCTAATTCCTTCAAGAGTCAAAATCTAGTAAGAACTTAAATAGGACCTCTAAAGGTTTGTCAGAATTATAACTTTTCCAACTATGTGGCAAGACCAAAGTACTAATTCTTTTTCTGTTTTACAAATATTAATTTTTTGAGATGTATATTATTTTTTTTTATTAAAATCTGGTATTAGTAATTTTCATCTGTCAAATAGTTCAACATTTGAATTTCTTTTTTTGGTCTTTTTGAGACAGGGTCTCCCTGTAGCGTCAGCTGTCCTGGAACTCAACTGTGTAGCCCAGGCTGGCTCTGAACTCAAAGAGATCTGCCTGCCTCTGCCTTCCGAGTGTTGGGATTTAATATCTCTTTTTAATAGAGATAATTTTATTAGCAGCACAATAGACTGCTATTGTGGTTTTGCTTATTTTTTTCCTATCTAAAGAATCTTAAATAGCAAACGAATTAGCCTGTATTAGCACAATTTTGTTTCTTCCCCTCTGCATAATTTAGTGTGTGTGTGTGTGTGTGTGTGTGTGTGTGTGTGTGTGTGTGTGTGTGTGCGCATGCGCACGCGCTTTTCTTACAGGAATGATTCCTCCTAAGCCATTAATCAGAAGAGACCAGTTAGAAGGGACACCAAACAATTCTGAGTCATTTGAGCATATGGCTCGATCTGCAAGAGATCATGGAATTTCCCTTTCTGAACCTCGAATGATCTGGGGATCAGATCCCTATCATGCTGAGCCTCAGCAGGCAGCTACTCCCAAGTCAGCTGAAGAACCTGAGGATGTAAGGTAATAAATTATTTAAATGATTAAAGAAAAAAATTATTCATAGACTAGATAGAAAACATTATGATTAAGAAGAAAACCATATAGCACCCTTTAAGATCATTCTGGGGACCAGCAAGATTGCTCATTGAGAAAAGGGACTTGACACCAAGCCTGAATTTGATACCTGGAATCCACATAATGGATGGAGAGAACCAACTCCCAAAACTTGTCCTCCGACCTCTACTAGTGCCCTGTGGCATGTGTTCCCCACCCCCGGACACACACTAAATAAATAAATATAAAGGATCGTTCTGATTTAGGACTGAGCCATGAATCTGATGTTCTATAATTATTAATGTTTCATTTTATCTTTGGACATATTTTTCTGACATTTCTTTATGAATTAGGACATTTTGTTAACTAGTTTAACACAATGAATTAGATACTTGAACTTAGTGGTAGATGTTTTGAAACATCACCTTCTATAGAGTATATGTAAAGAAATTTGCATTCTTAATTTAGTCTGGCTGATGGACTTACGATAAAATTTTTCTAGTCTTGACAAACAGTAGACATTTGATTGTTGGTGTCTTAGGGAGATTTTGTAAGATCGGGAGTTAAAGAGAAATGCTAGTTTTTAAAGTTACTATAAAATACTTGGTAATTGGTGGTTAATAATCTATAACCAGAGACTTGAAACTTATGGATGTATTTTAATGATAATATTATATAGTTATTTGTAACTAACTAGAATAGACTCTAGTATATTCTTTCACTTTAGCCAGAAATTACTGTTCTTGTTACATTAGTTCTTATCTACATGGTGTAAATTTTGGTTTTAAGTATACCAAGGCAGCATTGCTATCTACTGCAGCACTATAGAACATTATTTATTTATTTATTTATTTATTTATTTATTTTTTCGGTCTTTTTGAGATAGGGTCTCCATGTAGCCCCAGCTGTCCTGAACTCACTGAGATCCGCCTGCCTCTGCCTCCCAAGTGCTGGGATTAAAGGCATGCGCCACCACACCCGGCCAGAACTTTATTTTTTATGACTGAAACTTTTATCCTGTTGTTCAGAACAGTATCTCTCCATTTCAAGCTACCTTGAACCCCTGGTAATCACCATTTTATGTTCTATTTCAATGTGTTTGATTTTTTTCAGGCACATCCTATAAGTGGAGTCATACAGTGCATTTGCTGACTAGGTCCAATATTTATCTATTTTTGTAGTATATGACTATCTCTTTTGTTCCTGAGTAATGTTCTGTTATATATCCATATTTTCTTTATTCATTCAACTATCTAGACATTCATCTTGTAGTACCCTCGTTGCTACGCTTTTTATTCAGCCATAGCAGTGCTCTTTATGGTTAAAGGTTCGTTTTGTAATTTAGTTGGTGTCTAGGAGGGAGGGGTTATTTACATACAGGAAAGGTTGTTCTGTTGGTTATATGTTTGAATTCTCTTCACTACAGACCTGAATCTGCATTGGACCAGGAACAGATTACTGCTGCTTATCCTGCAGAACATAGTCAGCTGGAAACTCATCCAAAAGCAGACACCATCAGAGAATCAACTGAGACAGAAGGACAAAAGTTTCTAAGCAGATCTGTGGAAGATGTAAGACCTCACCAGGCTGATACAAATAATCAATCTGCTTGTTTTGAAGTAACTGATCCAAAGACGCCTCCTGAAGAGCGAATTTCAACTCTAGAAAGTCAGCCTGCCCGGAAAAGAAGTGTTTCCCATGGATCTAACCATGTTCAGAAATCAGAAGAGCAAAGAAATGAGCCATCTGTAAGCATCCCTAAAGTAACCAGCAGATGTATTGATTCTAAAGAACCTGTGGAGAAACCAGAGGAGAAGCCAAGAAGGGATGGCTTTCTGCGTTCCTCTGAAGGACCCAAACCAGAGAAGGTATATAAATCCAAATCAGAAACTCGTTGGGGCCCACGGCCAAACTCCAACAGAAGAGAGGAAGGTAATGATAGGCCTGTGAGAAGATCAGGTCCCATTAAAAAGCCTGTACTTAGAGATATGAAAGAAGAGCGGGAACAGAGAAAAGAGAGGGAAGGTGAAAAGGTTGAAAAGATCACTGAAAAGGTTGTTAAACCAGAAAAAACAGAAAAGAAAGAGTTTCCTTCTCCACCACCTCCAGCACCAGTTCACCCACAATCACTTCCACCACCAGTACAACCAGAACCAGAGAAACTGCCATCAACAGAAACATCAGCTTTGGTGCAGAAACCATCTCAAGATAATGACAAGCCTTTGGAACCTGTGGCTAGTGTTCAGGTAGAGCCTGCAGTTAAAACTGTAAACCAACAAACTGTTGCAGCACCAACAACCAAAGAAGAAAAGCAGCCTGAGAAAGTCATCAGCAAAGACGTTGGTATAGAACGACCTCGACCAGATACTAGACCAGTAGTTAAAAAAGAATCAGCTTTACCCCCTAGGACCTATTGGAAAGAAGCTAGAGATAGAGATTGGTTTCCTGATCAAGGATATAGGGGCAGAGGCAGAGGTGAATATTACTCTAGAGGTCGAAGTTATAGAGGCTCTTATGGGGGTCGTGGCAGAGGTGGTAGAGGGCACACTCGAGAGTATCCTCAGTATAGAGACAATAAGCCAAGAATAGAACATGTGTCCTCAGGACCTCTCAGACAACGAGAAGAAAGCGAAACACGAAGTGAGAGTTCTGATTTTGAAGTTGTTCCCAAAAGACGACGACAGCGGGGTTCAGAGACTGACACTGACAGTGAAATTCATGAAAGTGCAAGTGACAAGGATAGTTTAAGCAAGGGCAAACTTCCCAAAAGAGAAGAGCGGTCCGAAAACAAAAAGCCTATCAAGCCTCAACCCTCTTTTAAGCCTGAAAATCATGTCCGAATAGATAATAGGCCTCTAGAAAAACCTTACATAAGAGATGAGGATAAATCTAAACCAGGCTTCCTTCCTAAAGGGGAGCCTACAAGGCGAGGCAGAGGAGGAACATTCAGACGTGGTGGAAGGGATCCTGGAGGCCGACCATCCCGCCCTGCCACCTTGCGAAGACCTGCTTATCGGGACAATCAGTGGAACCCAAGGCAGGCAGAAGCTCCTAAGCCAGAAGATGGAGAGCCAGCAAGAAGACATGAACAGTTTATTCCTGTACCAGCAGATAAACGACCTCCAAAATTTGAGCGAAAATTTGACCCAGCTAGAGAGAGACCCCGAAGGCAGCGTCCTACCCGACCACCAAGGCAAGATAAGCCTCCTCGATTTAGACGGCTAAGAGAGAGAGAGGCTGCTTCAAAGACAAATGAGGTGCTGGTGCCCACAAATGGCACCGTTAATACTGTGGTTCAAGAACCAGTTACTTCTGTGGGGGACCTTTCTGGGAATAAGACACCAGATTTGTCTAATCAGAACTCGTCAGATCAGGCAAATGAAGAATGGGAGACAGCTTCTGAAAGCAGTGATTTTAATGAGAGGCGTGAGAGGGAAGAAAAAAAAAATGCTGATTTGAGCTCACAAGCAATTGTAAAGGCTGGAGAGAATGGTTTGGTTCCAAAGAGAGAAATAGCAAAGAGAAGTTTTTCTAGTCAGAGACCTGGAGTTGATCGCCAGAATCGACGTGGCAACAATGGCCCGCCCAAGTCAGGAAGGAATTTCTCTGGTCCTAGAAATGAAAGAAGAAATGGCCCACCATCAAAAAGTGGAAAAAGAGGGTAAATACTTTGTTGTGAATCTAAAACTTTGTACCTTTAAAAGAGGTAAAAGTAGAATTCTCTGGTGGAAGTTATGCAAGGTGCCTGTCTAGGTAAAGGACAAAGACTGTACTCCCAAATGCTATCCTCTCTTCTCCTAGTGTGTTAGGTGTTTGAGAACTTGAAGTTAATGTGTCTGAGGACTCTTTACCTCTTAAGTTACATCTTCCCAAAGAATCCTCTTAGACATTCATAGCTTTGGAAAAATTTTCACATCCAAAGAGGAAACTGCATCTTCATTTGATAAGTTCTCTTAGTGGTGATGCATAGTTCTCTTTAATTATATCGAGGTGTACTTTGAGAGGATGTGTTTTAACCAGGTACTCTGGTACTCTATGCTGGTTTCTCAAGAGTCCTTATTGAGTTGTCAGGATAAATTATAGTCACCTCTGTAGTTGCAAACCTTAACGTATAAATAAACCATCCAGCTAGAGACTCAGAAAAGAAATATTGCCTCGCTTTCAAGGCACTGTGGGCAACATGAGTCCCGTGGCAATGGATTTCCTTATTTTTTAAATACATTTCAGAGCTGAGTATATAGCTCTGTTGATAGAAGTGGTTGTCTAGCACTGCGTGAAACAAAGCATGGTATATACCTGTCATTCATTTTAGCAGTTGGGGGAGTAGAGGCAAGAGGATCAGAAATTCAAGGCCATCTTCAGCTAAATAGTTCAAAGCCAGCTTGGGATATATGAAACACTGCCTTTTAAAAAAGATTTTTTAATTATGCTAAACTTGGCCCTTTTAAAATACTAAAATGTTGGTTATAGTATTAACATTGATTTTGATATCAGGAGAAAATTAAGATTCAGCTCTTTGACCTAGTTACTTGTGTAAGACAAAAGGTTTATACAGTCTGAAGAGCAACCAGAGTATGTAACATATTCATTGCAACACAGAGTAAGCATTCTTGAGGCAAAATTTCCCAAGTTTACAGCCTGAGCTGATAAGAATTTATTTATACATGACCAGATACAGTGGTACACACTTTCATTTCAGCACTTGGGAGACAGTGGCAGGTGGATCTCTTTGAGTTCAAAGCTAGCATGTTTACAAGTTTAGGCCAACCAGGGCTACATAGTAAGACACTGTCTTAAAAAAACAAACTTGTGTGCAATATTGCACTAATCTTAACTCCTTAGTTGTATGTATTTCTTTCCCACTAAAATTTCAGGCCAGCTGGGCATGGTGACTCACACCTTTAACCCCAGCACTTGGGAGGCAGAAGCAGGTAGATCTCTGAGATAGGGGTGACAGGGAGACGCTGCCTCAAAAAGACCCCGCCAAAAAAAAAACTCAAAAACAAAATTCTAGGACTAGTTGTTTCCTAAGTACCTGATTAACTCAGAATATAAATATCACTTTTATTTGTTCAAGAGATCTTGATAATAGCAACAGCAAAACAGAATAATTCTTTGATTGGGGTAAACTATTACAGTTTCAAGTAATAGTGCTTGGATTTGATCTTTGTTATATAGGTGTCAGCAATTTAAAACCTACTGAAGGGGCTAGAGAGATGGCTCAGTGGTTAAGAACACTGGCTGTTCTTGCAGAAGACCTGGGTTCAAATCCCAGCACCCACATGGCAGCTAACAACTGTCCATAACTCCAGTTCAGGGGATCCAACAGCCTCTTCTGTCCTCCATGGGCATTGCACGACACAGGTGCACTTACCTATATGCAGGCAATACATACATACACATAAAACAAAAATAATAAAATATATTTTTTTAAATCTACAGAAATAGCAGTGGCTGGTTGTAGTTAAAACAGTTTGTGAGAGTTCATTCTTCAAACGTTGGAGATCATGTCAGGCACTCAATAATCCTTTATTTTGAGAAATTTTATGGACTGATGAAGATTAGTAAGCTGTTTTTTAATGGTATGTTTTCATCTGAAAAAAAAATTTTTTTAAATAAACCTGAAATTATGTTAGGAAACAAAAGCTGGTACATTTGATTTGTGAGATGAGTTTGTCTATGCTAAAGGCATTTTTAATGTTTACATCAATATATAAATCTGATTAAACTATATATGCACCAAACTGTATAAACAATATAGAATGCTGTTTTAAAATTTTATTTGCATATGCTGCCCATAGTAGGGATCGATCCAGTCATGATAAGACCATAGACATTCTCTGCTATATCCCTGTTGTTGCTCATAATGTGATAGACAAATGGATGGCATAACCTCCTAGGGATAATTAGAATTCTAGACTTTAATTTCTGGGGAAAAACTCCAAAGAGCTAAGTATTTTATTAGAAACTTCCGTTTTAGTGAGGTTGTACCCTCAGAAGCTGCTGGAACTGGTTGATCATTTCATCCCACTGCTGCTGTGTCTTAGATACTTCATTCAGAAGCTGTCAGAAAGAACATTTTTCTTTTGTTGAGGTATGTAATGATCATGCTATCTCATGCTTTTTTTTTTTTTTTTTAGGCCATTTGATGACCAGTCTTCAGGCACAGCTGGTATCGACCCTGTCAGTGGTAACTCTGCACACAACCAGGAGGGAGCACCTAATGGTGCAGGACAAAAGAATTCCAAAGATAATACTGGGAAAAAGAGAGAGGATACCAAACCAGGTCCTAAGAAGCCTAAAGAAAAAGTAGATGCTTTATCACAGTTTGATCTCAACAATTATGCAAGTATGTCATGGGCTCTTACATTTTGCTTCATGATAAATTTAAGTAGATACTGTGAAAAAGTCTTCAAGGAAGAAGTATTAGTCATTCCAGGTAGACTTAGAAACTGTTATGAAACACTTAATTGACTTAAAATAACACCAGTTTTAGCATATCCATGAATATTCGGTGGGTTTTGTAAATGATAGTCCAGTAGGGTTTCTTTGTTCTTCAGGGAAAAAGTAAAAATCGATTAAACCAGTACAATTTGCCAAATAGGCATGAGAAAGCACAAAATAGTAAGTGACAGTTTTGGATTAGAACCTTAGAAATTCTGAGTTTTTTGGTTGGTTGGTTGGTTGGGGTTTTTTTGGTCTTTTTGAGACAAGGTCTCCCTGTAGCTCCAGCTGACCTGGAACTCCACTATGTAGACCAGGCTGGCCTTGAACTCACAGAGATCCGCCTGCCTCTGCCTCTGGAGTGCTAGGACTAAAGGCGTGCTCCACCGCACCCAGAAATTCTTTTTAAAAAGTAATGTTGAATTTGATGATTTATGACCCTAATAACATTGGTTTCTGAGATACAAGCAAACACATGAAGGGAGGCAATACTACTGTGGGTAAATAATTCAGGAAAGACACAAAATGAGTAAATATCAAATATGATGGATAATAGCAGGAAAATACTAGAAAGAAATTGGCTGGGATTATTTAAAAAATAAAGGTTTATACATGTAACAATGTGTAATTTGTCATTCAGATGAAACCAAAGCTGAAAACACTGAAAGAGTTCTTAAAACAAGGTGGTAATAATGGAAGCCAGTATAGGTACAGTTATTAGTATTAGAGTTGTGGGTGAATTTTCTTCTAACTACATGGGAGTTTTTGTTATTGTTGTTTATTTAATACATACTAAACCTTGATTTGGAACCAGGTCTTAGACATTATTTCTAGGTCAGTGATTCTCAAGACTGTGGTCCTGTAAACTGTCTTCACTATGAAATTTGATAGAAATGTAAATTCTTATCTACCAAACCCACTAAATAAGAACTTAAAAACTAGTATTCTAAACTAGTAATTTGAATTCATATGGAAAAGAAATGAAAAAATAAGCTGATCTTAAGTGCATGTTTAGAGATTTTTAAGTTAGACTATTTAGAACAGTAATTCTTTTTTATTTTATGTGTGTGAGTGTATTGCCTGCATGTATGTGAGTGCATCTGTGTCGTGCAGTGCCACAGAGGTCAGAAGAGGGCTTCAGATTCCCCTGGAACTGGAGTTAAGGGACGGTTCGTAGCTGCCATGTGGGTCCTCTGCAAGAGCAGTCCGTGCTCTTAACCGCTGAGCCATCGCTCTAGTCCCTAGAACAGTATTTTCTTGACATTAGTGATTGTCCACTGTCTGTGGGACATTTGGCAGTCATTTTTGTCAGAATTAGAGTGAGGTACAATCTAATGAGTAGAAGGACAGGAATACTGTTAAGCATCCTAACAATGCTCACAACAGCCAACCCATAATAATAGAATGTGGTCTCTCAAAATATTCTGTGCTTCACTTGCCCTTTTTGTGATGACATGAGATGGTCAATTCCAAAGTGATGAGAGGAAGTGGATGTAGTGTTAGGTTACTACACGAGTTACTTAACACAAGTATTATGATACCTTTTGTTGATCTGGTAACATCTACCAAGTAACTCATGGACACATTCTACAGAACACTGAACAAAGGAATGATTTATGCTCTAGGCATAATGCTATAGAGTTCATCATACTGTTCAGAATGACATGCAGTTTAATACCCAGAAAAGTATTTATTTGTACACCTTTCCATTTACTGTTTTGAAACCACAGCTGGACCTAAGTGAAACTGCAAGTAAGAGGAAACTACTAGAAGTGAAAAGCTGAAATGAATTTAGGATTACTATGATAAGCCAAATATGATAGTATACTTATAATGTTAAGACTTTTAAGGTAGATGCAGGATAATCATGAATGAGTTCCAGGACAGCCTGGATTACCGTGAGACTGTCAAAACAAACAATAAAATTATAGTTCTCTTCATCAATATGAAATAATATGACTATGACATCCTTTAAAATGTTTGACTATTGGACTGGGCATGGTGGCACACACTTTTAATCCCAGTATTCAAGAGGTAGAGGCAGGTAGATCTTGTGAAGCCAGCCTGGTCTACATAGTGAGTTTGAGGTCAGCCAGGGCTATGTAGTAGGATCCTGTCTCAAAAAAATAAGATATTTAACTGAGACCTTTCATTAGAATGAGCATATGCTCCATACTTAGGAATTCCTTTAAAGACTGAAAGGATAAGAAGTATCTTAGGCATCTTAATGTTAATTAGGGCTCTCTCTTGAAGTTGAGTTTTTATTAAGAGTACAAAATAGCTGTAGGCAAAAGCCAGTTTTAATAATTCTTTGTTTCTCCATAGTAGATGTAGATAAATGGGTATGGAAATTTTTATTTGGTAAGAAGAATTAAAGATTCCCTGTAAATTCATTCCATGCTGTATATCTACTGCCAAAAGTCACATCTTCTGTAATTTCTATGAAAAATTTAACAGATTTAGATTTGTTGTGCTATCAGAGCAAAAATACCATTTTAGATAGTCAAAATAATAGTTGGATAATACTTTGAAAATACATGAAATTGAGACTTGAGAGATGGCTCAGCAGTTAAGAGCACTTGTTGCTCTTACAGAGGACCCAGGTTCCATTCCCAGCATCCACATGGCACCTAACACCCATCTCTAACTCTAATTCCAGGGGATCTAATCCATCTTCTCGCCTCTGCAGGTACTGCATGCACACAATGTACTTAACATCATGTAGAGAAAACACTCCTACGCATAAAATACAGATAAATAAAAAGAAATTATTGGGTAATTTTTGATGCTTGTACATCAAAATATATACCACCTTTCACATGGAATGTTTACATGAAAGTTAAGAGCTAAACATTGTAGACAAGGGTTACTATAGAAGCATTAGGAATTGTAAAGCCAACTATGCCAGTTGCCTCACATTTAACAAATTAGCTTCTCATCTTATTTGATCTCATAGTAATAGCTACCTCTTAGAATTGGTGAATTGTTTATAAAATAAAGTACTATGTAGAGTGGTATGCATTTCTGGGGCCAAAAAGTCATACATTAATTTTTTTTAATGAATTACATTTATATTGCTTAAGGAAGAAAAAAATGCCATTGGGAATGATGGCATATACCTATAATCCCAAGTTGGGAAGAAGAGACATGAGAGGATTAGGAGTTCAAGGCTAGCCTCAGCTGAGACTAGAATGGGCTTCATGAGACTCTGGTTCAAAAGAACAAAAGGGAAAAAAGGTCTGTTGTTCATAACATATAGTTTTAGGAATTTTTACTTATTATTCATGACTTTTCCCATAAATAAAACTGAAAATTGTTCATATATTAGTAGTCTATATTGGGCCGTCTTTCAGGGCAGGAAATAGATTATACTCTAAAATTATAAGAAGTCTTTTTCCTACCTACAGGTGTTGTTATAATTGACGATCATCCTGAAGTAACTGTAGTTGAGGACTCCCAGTCAAATTTGAATGATGACGGCTTTACTGAGGTGGTATCCAAAAAACAACAGAAGCGCTTGCAGGATGAAGAACGCCGAAAGAAGGAAGAACAAGTCACCCAGGTTTCAGGGCCTATCATTTTCTTGGTAGCTTAGATTGCTGTTCAGAGTATGTCAGCAAATGGCCAAGGATTCTATCTACTGTGAAGTCAGTTTTAATAGTCATGTTATTTGTCCCAGGGAAGAATCGAGCTCATTTTAAATTCTTGAAAATCTAATCAGTACAAACGCAATGATCCTTACATAGGTTTTTGTTGGTTACTTTTTGTCAGGTTTTTGTTTTCCTTTGGTTTAGTTTTTGTTTTTTGCCAAATTCACTCCAGACTTCCTTAGTTATTAATTTCAAGTTCAGGAGGGGAAGGGACCTGTAAATCAAAAATGCATATTTGTCTATTTCCTATATATTATCTTGGCTTCTTGTAGTTTGAAATCCCATTAACAACCTAATTGGAAAAGTGGAACAGCTAAGTTAGCAGTAGGACATTCTGGTAGAAATTAAATATATAAACTGTTGCTTTTATCTATATTAGTGACCAAAAAAATTCCCTACCAATTTTTTTTAAGGTATGGAACAAAAAAAATACAAATGAAAAAGGAAGAAGCCAGACATCTAAGCTTCCTCCAAGATTTGCCAAAAAACAGGCTACAGGGACCCAACCAGCTCAGTCTCTAGCCTTGGCTTCAGTTCCAATCTCAACCTCAGCTACAGTTTTAACATCAACAGCCGCTTCAGTTCCAGCCTCCACCCCAGCACCAGTTCCAGTTTTGGCATCAGCCACAGCTCTAGTTCCAGCATCAACCATAGCTCCAGTTCTAACCTCAACTCCAACTCCAGTTCCAACATCAGCCGCAGCCCCTGTTCCAGCATCTACATCACCTACCATCACAGTCTGTTCCTCACCTCCAGTCTCAATCCCAGCTCCAACACCTATCCTTGCATCAGCCTCAACTACAGCTTCTGTCCCCATTCTTGCTTCACCTTCAGTTCCTATCCTCACTTCAGCCTTAGCACCAGCTTCAGTTTCTTCTCCAACACCAGTAGTCTCAGCTCCAGCTGTGCCAACTCTATCAACTCCAGCTGCCCCAGCCTCAGCCCCAACAGCCTCAGTTCCACTTGCCCCAGCCCCAGCTACAACTACTACCCCAGCCCCAACTGCTCCAGTACAGACTCAGGCGCAGACCCACAAACCAGTCCCAAGTCCACTTCCTACTTCAGCACAGTCTTCAAAACAGCCACCACCTTCAATTAGGCTACCTTCAGCTCAAACATCTAATAACACAGATTATGTAGCCACAGGAAAATCCATCCAGACCCCACAGTCACATGGCGCTCTTGCAGCTGAATTATGGGATAACAAAGTGGCCCCTCCAGCTGTGCTAAATGACATCTCTAAAAAATGTAAGTATGCAACCAGAAGGTATGGGGTAGAGAAAAGTAAAAAAGACAGGAGGGAAGGCTCAGGTTCACAGTCTAAACATAAGAGAAACGCATAGAATTACTGACATTCTGTTTTGCTTACATAGTCAAGTAAGTTTGTTTTAGCTATCTCATTTTTCTTAGTAGGAAGCTGTAGTAGCAGTTCTTAGCTTCCTTTCTTGAAATGCTCATTTCTAAAATATGCATAAAAACGTGTTTTATTTAGATTCCATATCACCCCAGTTAGAGTGGCTATTTTCCAGGAAACCGACAAATGCTGGTAAGGATGCCAGTTAGGAAAAAAATGCAACCCTTGTACATGGCTGTAAGGAATATAAATTAGTAATGCCACTGAAAATCTGTGCAGGTTCCTCAAAGAAACTAAAAGTAGAATTGTCATATGATGCAGCTATGCCATTTTTGTTGTATACTTAAAGGAATTTAAGGTGTGTGTTTAACTGAAAGAAAGAAGAAAGGATATAGGGAGGCTACAAAATTGCATGTTTTCTTATGTGCATTCTAAATTATTTGTAGAAACAGGAAATTAGAATAAATTATTTGGAAGGGTAGAGAGGGAAGAAGGGCAGTGTAGTGCAATGAAGGTAGAATAAATGTATTGTGGATACAAATTTGTCGGGGGGGGGGACTTTTATTTTGACATTAAGAATTTCTGTGATGTGGAAAATTGTTATATTGTCTGACATTCCAATAAAGGGTTCAAATGAACTAGAGATGATTAGCTTTAATCACATTTCCTTTGACTTTTTTTAGTGGGTCCTATTAGTCCACCACAGCCACCTTCAGTAAGTGCGTGGAATAAGCCCTTAACATCATTTGGATCAGCTACTTCATCAGAGGTAAGAATAGACTCACTGGCATTGGTGGAGTTAGTGACTTTTTGAAAACAATTTCTCAGACTTCATTGTGTCTCAGTATTACCCAGAGAGCTATCAAAACAGATTAAGCCCATGCCCAGAGTTTCTGGTCTTGTGCAAGAGCAGTATTCATTCTTAACAACTGAGCTGTCTCCACAGCCCCACTGATAACACTTTGATTTTTTGGTTGACTGTAGTAAAGACGAGTTACTATAAATTCCTTATAGTATGCATATTTTATAAACATTATTGTGAAGGATACAGTGTTCCTCTTAAAAATAGCATTCTCTAATAGTCATTATCTGTCGATCTGCTTTCATTTAACTACGAGGTTGATTATTTTTGTACATAATTTATAGTTTTTCATCATGAATTGCTATATCACTTTGCTCTTTTAATACTAACTGAACACTTTAGTGCCTATAGAAACTTCAGCATTGACTAAAACAAACTTTTTCTTCTAATTTGCATGAGTATTTGCCTAGACTTGAAAGTGACTAAAGCATAACATCACACGGAGATGCGTGCATTTGGTATAGTGAAATTAACCATAAGTTGAGTAATGCTAAAAAGAGTATGAAGAAGTAATTCATTTGTTAGACCAAAGCACTAGTTGAACTTTGTTCCTAATTTTGTTTTGTTTTTGTTTTGTTTTTCTGTGAAAGAAAAGTTGCTGTAACAGCTTCATGCTGTCTAGCCTCCTGCCTAGCCATCTTCCACCATTCTTCCAGTAGCTGATCCCTTAATTATATTTTTTAGATGCTATCTGACTTCACTTCTAAGGCTGCCTAGCACAAAGACTGTGTTCATAAAATTAGCTATTTAATTAGCAAATTGATTCCATAGGTGTATATATTACCTTTCCAATTACAGAATACTTTGTGCATTTTTTCATGTTACTTTCAAACAGACTTCCAAGAGGTAGGTGATAGTGATATTGCTGTCTTTTCCACTTGTACTATCTTCAGGCATTTGTTAGTTTCACCTTTGTTTTAAATGGTGAAACAATTTGAAGCTGTGATTTATGCATGATCACAAGAGCCACAACTTTGAACGCTCAAGCTTGTCTTATCCTAATCTCACTTAGTATGTAGAATTGCTTTAAACCAGCCTTCTTGTTTATATACATCATTCAGTCAAATCTGTACTCTGTTTACTATGATAGCAAGTGCTAAATTCTCTTGTTAGGGAGCAAAGAATGGTCAAGAGAATGGCGTTGAAATTGGAATTGACACAATTCAGTTTGGTGCTCCAGCTTCAAATGGGAATGAAAATGACGTTCCTGTGCTTTCGGAAAAATCTACCGACAAAATTCCTGAACCTAAAGAACAACGTCAGAAACAGCCACGGGCGGGGCCTATCAAAGCTCAGAAGGTAAATACAGCTCATAAGCCAGGCATAATTTCAAAAAGCCATTAAAGGAAGTAAAATTGAATTGAATTTTTAATAAATGTCTTTGATTATGATGTATCTTTGTCATAAACACTGATTTTAGCTTCCAGATTTGAGTCTGATAGAAAACAAGGAACATAAACCTGGTCCCATTGGAAAAGAACGATCATTGAAAAATAGAAAAGTGAAAGATGCCCAACAGGTGGAGCCAGAAGGACAAGAGAAGCCAAGCCCTGCTGCAGTCAGAAGCACAGATCCTGCCACAACAAAAGAAACAAAAGTAGTCTCAGAAATGACTGCTGAAATAGGAACAATGATCTCGGTATCTTCTGCAGACTTTGGCACTGGTGTAAAGGTATGCAGCATGCACTGCTAACAGTCTACTTAATGAACAAGTTATGTCCAGAGTGAATGAATGAATCAATCAATTGAGATGAATGAATGAGACCATCAATAGTGTACTTTTTTTCTGGACATTTAATTGTATATTCTACAGAGAGATTTTATGATATACATACGTGATATGAACTTCTTTGCGATATGCATTTTGGAAATTTATCCTTATTTTGTTGAGTGGCCTAAATAGAAAAATGTATGAGATCAGAATTACTTTTCCTTGAGCTTGTAAGCTTTTCAAGAATGGCTCAGTCCCATATTTTGCTAGCAGATTTGCAGTATAGTCTTATCTTGTCTGCCAGTACAATTCTAAACATATAAAATAAGACAGTCTTGGAACATATCACTTGTTTTGTTTGGTCAAATAATGATAAATATTGGGGGCCACAATGAATGAAACATATATGTATGCCTTTTAAAATATAGTCAGCTCTCATATCTGTGAGTTGAGGATCCATGAATTCATGTCTCTGGGTCAAAAATGTTCTCTCAAAAACTGGTTTTATTTTCTTCTGAACATTCTAACATCTGAGGATATAGCATTTATATTCTAGTATGTGTTATAAGTAAAGAGTAAAGGACCTAAAGTATACCAGGGAATGTGCATAAGATAGAAAATACTATACCATTTTATATAAAGGACTTGAGGATGGATGGGGTCAGGGTGGCCTATAACCAGGTCCCTGAAGATACAGTTGTACTCATTAAGGCAGTTGATACTTGTAGTAACAGCAACTTTCTATCGTTTTACATCACTTAAAGACATACATTCCCTGTATAGAAAGGTAGATGTAATTTTTTACATTCATTTTTTTCATAGTTTTCTTGTTTTTCTTTAATATTTAGTAATATCTAGTGCTGTTGATAACCCCCTAAGGCTTGTTCTTCTTTCCTACTTTCTTCCAACAAAGCTGTACATCTATTAGACTGTCAATAGAAAGTGACCTACAAATTCAGTTTTTAAAGAGTTTTTTCTGTTACTCCTCCACAGGAGTCTGTAACAGACTACACTACACCTTCTTCTTCTCTGCCTAACACTGTGGCTACTAATAATGCAAAGATGGAAGATACTTTGGTTAATAATGTAAGTAAATCAGTTGGAGATTTGGCAGGTTTGGATAGGAATCTAGCTTCTATGCACTGTGTCATCTCTTGTTTTACTCACTGTCATGACCAGTTTTTGACTCTTAACAGTGAATGAGTTGATAGGAAATTTTGTTTTCATGAGCATTGTAATATAACTAGCGAAAGTAATCAAAACTAGGCTTTTGTTTTTCTTCTGAAAGTCATCAGCTTTCTAAAACCAAACCCTGTGCTTGACTTTATAGGTACTAACCCTATTAACCTGGCTTAGGAAGAATTGGGGTGTGGGGAGGTGCCCTTCTGATCTACCATTTTATTTTGTTGGTAATATTCACAAATGAAACCCTTTTTGTAAAGCAGTGAAACCATACTTGTTTAAAATAATTAGAATAAAAAACGATGTTTGCAAGGTGTCAAACATTTCTTTTCAAATTTAAAATATACTGACTTTGCCTTGCCAATATTTCTTTTGTGAAAATTAAGCTATAATGTGTGTGTGTATTTCCAGATTTCTTGAATGTTCTTGAATATCAGGCAATGTTTTCCAGAGGAACTGTACTCTTGTTGAATATTGTGTTGTGCTAGTACAGGTTGTCATTTTGCCAAGCTCACTACCCTTGAAAAATTATAGGCCAAAAATGTTAAATAACTGGTTGCACAGTATAATTTAGAACATATGAAAGATGCCTGTATGATCCTTGCTTTGGAGAAAATTAGTCGTCTGTTCTTTTTAAATGTAACCCTCTATAACCAATAGCTGTCATGCTTAAATGTTGGTCATTCCACAATTATCCTTTACAAATACATTTAAAGGTTTCTTTAGAAGAACTTTATTATTTTCAGTATAAAAATCTTGATTTTTGTCTTATATTTTTTCCCCCATGCTGTCTATTCTTCCCTGTAGCATCAAGTATGTGGAATTTTAGAAAGGTGAGCTGCATTAGGGGTCAGTTAATCCAAATTATACACAGGTGGAAGGATTCTTACTATATAGGCAAAGAAAAGGAATGAGTTATGCTTTTTTTTGCTGTTAAAAGCTGATTACTTTGCCCCCTTTTTAGATGTTAGAAAATCACATACCAAACCCATCCATCTGCCAAACTATTTGTAGTATGGCATTTTTAAGGAAGTACATAATGCTGTCTACTAATCTGCCATCTAAAAATATAATTGATGAAATGTGAATCTTATGAAGTAAGATGGGAGGGAGACAGGCTCACTGTATAGTCCAGGCTGGCCTGGAACTGACCGGGTCGACCAGCCTGGCCAATTAATGCATGGAGATCCACCTGCTTCTGCCTCCTTGAGTGCTGTGATTAAAGTGATGCACCACAACCATGCCCATCCTGACTTTTATGATCATTATTCTCAAAACCTGTACCATCTTGTCATAAGGGGAGGAAAAAAGACACAAATCATGAATATTTTCCTGGTTTCTGTGTGTTCATAAGGCCAGTTATGTAACTTTGTATGAATGTGTTTGAAAGCAAAAGGACAGTTTGGATTGGGGAACATTGTAGGTAGTCATCATTTTTGATTTTTTCAATGCTGTTTATTTTTTCCAAGTGTAATAGTGATTCTACACTAACTAAAAAACTCCCATGGGGAAAAATTTAAAGTCCTTTGAAATGTCTTTTTTTTTCTTTTTCATTAGTCTGTTCGGGGGTTTCATTTTAAATACAGAACTTTTGGGGTTGTTATACCTTAAGCCAATGTCTGTTGTTAAGGCTTAATCTACAAGCTTTTTATTTTATTTATTTTTTTAATTTTATTTTTATTTTATGTGTATGAGTGTATTGCCTGCGTGTATGCGAGTGCACTCATGTCATGCAGTGCCGCGGAAGTCAGAAGAGAGCTTCGGATTCTCCTGGAACTGGAGTTAAGGACTCTTTGTAGCCACCATGTGGGTGCTGGGAATCGAACCCAGGTCCTCTGCAAGAGCAGACAGTACTCTTAACTGCTGAGCCATCTCTCCAGCCCCAAGGCTTTTTATTTTTATGTGTATATGTGAGCTTGTATGCGTTTGTGTGTGCAGAAACCCTTGAGGCTAGAAAAGGGTATCAGATACTCTAGAACTCAAGTTAACGGTTGTGAGCTGCCTTGTGGGTGGGAACCAAATGGGGATCCTCTACAAGCCATCTGTCCAGCTTCAGTATAGGCTTTTTAATTACATACCTTAACTTTCATGGTGGTTAGTATTACCTGGTGTTAAAATTGTTACATATTTTGAATGTCTCGACAATTTACAGATGATAATTTTTTTTTTAATCATTATAGCTTAGCTGTTTTCAAGATTTAATTAAGAATCTTACCTGTTAAGCCTGGTGTGGTAGTGCGCTCCGGAGGCAGGGCAGGCCAATTTCTGTGAGTTCGAGGCCAGCCTGGTCTACATAGTGAGTTCCTGGCCAGCCAAGGTGACATGGTTGGACTCTGTCTCAATAAACAAAACAAAAGAATCTGATAAGTAGTCTGTGTTATGACATCCCCATTAGATATATTCCATAATATCTCAAAGTGGTTTTCTTAAAGCCCTTCAAACATCCCAGCCATTTTTTTCCCAGATTGTACTGATTGAATTACCAAAAGCAAACATATAGTAACAGAAAATTCCAAGATCAAGAGACTTCAAGGGAAAAAAAAGGAAGTGTAGGTAGTGGGTTTCTTAAGTTTCTAACAGTATTTGCTATCATCATTTTATTATAATAATGGTATAATGAGGTAAGGGTTCTATTCCATACTTTCTTCCAGAGATTATTTGTGTTATTAAATCTAGTTATAAGTTGATTGTGTCATAGGGAAGATTTTCTTTTATTTGAACTGTTACACTAAATACTTCAATAAGAACCTGTGATCTCCCAGATGTGCTAAAAGTTGATTCCTTAGAGCTTGGCTGTACAAAGGGTTGGCTTTTAGATCATTAGCATCAGCATCACCTGGGAGCTTATTTGAAATGCAAGCTTTTGGACCTTGAAGTATAAGGAGCGCTAAAGGTAGTCCTTTAGTGTATACTTTTTTTTCTTATTGCTAATTTGTGCCTATCAAAACAAATAGTGTTACTCTTCAAACTTGAACGTAATCTACTATAAGCAATATAACTTGTTATTCTTTTGGCTCTGCTGAAAAATACCACCCACCCTTAGAGTACTTCAGTATTGAAAGTGATGGGGCTTTTGTAGCACACTTCAATTGTGATATGTTGCCTGCCTTTTCAGGTGCCCCTGCCCAACACCCTTCCCCTCCCTAAGAGGGAGACTGTACAACAAAGCTCCAGCCTAACTTCAGTTCCTCCCACTACTTTCAGCCTCACCTTCAAGGTATGTACGACATCCATCTCTAAGGCTCCTTAATTATTGCATGCAAGGGACATAAATTCACAATATACTTTTTTGGGGTTTTGGTTTTTTGGTTTGTTTTTGTTTTTGTTTTTTTTTTTTCTTTTTGTCTTCAGTAACGTCAGATTATACCTTAAAATTGTTTTAGCTTTTAACAGTGCTTGGCAGTTACAAGGCCTATTATACTTGTGAGTTTTATCTTAAAAATATAGACTGCCTTTGTGATTTGTACTCAGATCCAAAGTGTACTGATAATGGTAAGAGTGCTAATTTTTTTTTCATTCGTATAAGTCATGTGTGAAATGAATAAATACACTGGCTGTTCTTGCAGAAGACCTGGGTTTGAATCCCAGCACCCACATGGCAGCTGACAACTGTCCATAACTCCAGTTCCAGGGGATCCAGTGGCCTCTTCTGTCCTTCACGGCCATTGCACGTCATGGGTGCACTTACCTACATGCAGGCAATACATGCATACACATAAAATAAAAAATAAAAAAAATTTAAAAATAAATACAGTGTAGGACAAGACTACTTTTATCAAAAGGTGATTGACACAAGCATGCTTTATAAACAGAATTGAGAGCTTTTGATTGTTAATCGTAGGCAAAACTGATTTTAGTCTAGTTTTGCCTTTTGATTTTTTTTGTTAACTATTTTTGTGATTGAACACAAAACCTCACACAAGCTAGGCAGGTGCTTTACCACTGACCTATAACCCCAACCCTTTGTTTCCTTTTTATTTTGACATAATCTACCTTGCCCAGGCTGCCTTTGAACTTTCCATTCCTTCTGCTTCAGCCCAGCATTGCCTTGTTTTTCTAGTCACCTATTTTCATGATTTGGAATATATTAAATCTTTTGGTGGGGGTGGTGGTGGTGGTGGTGGTGGTGGTTAGACAAGATATCACTATGTAGTCCTGGCTTGCCTGGAACTCTGTTTGAAGACAAGTCCGGCCTTGATCTCACAGAGAATCTGCCCACTGCCTCCCTAGGATTAGGATTAAAGACATGTACCATCAGATCTGGCTAATTTTCTTTTATAAAAAGGGCTGTTTCAGCTGGGTGTCGAGGTGCACTCCTGTAGTCCCAGCACTTGGGAGGCAGAGGCAGGTGGATCTCTGCGAGTTCAAGGCCAGCCTGATCTACATAGTGAGTTCCAAGCCAGCTGGGGATACAGGGAGACCCTGTCTCAAAAACAAACCAAAAAAAGTAGTCTTTCAGATTACCTCAAGTCTGTTGTTCACCTCAGGGTTTTAATTAGTGGTTTCTTTTTTAATTTTTTTAAAGATTTTAATGACTTCTATATGTATGTATCTAAGTGCAACCTGTGCATGCCTAGTGCCTGCAGAGGCAAGAAGAAGGAATTGGATCTTCTGGAACTGGAATTAAGGCCAGTTAAGCCTTCATATGGATACCAGAAATTGAACCTAAGTTCACTGGAAGAACAGTCAGTGCTGAGGCATCTCTCCAGCCTTGGAATTGGCAATTTTTTTTTAGTTAATTAATTTTTTTGCATTTATTTAACTTATTGTTGCTTGTTAATTATCGTGGCAAGCATGGTTTTTAGCCTCTGTTAAAGCAGATCTTCCTAATGTAATGTTGAATTGGTTTATAGTGAACCTTTGATGGTGCACAGGAAATGGAGAAAACTAAACTGTTTTGTAAGAGTCTTAATTATGAGGCTGTGACATTATATAAGACAACCTCTGCTTTATATTATACCCAGTCCACCAATTCCTGTTTGGCCTTTGCTGCTGTTTTTCTACTTGAATGTCCATCTCCCAGTCTGTGTTCATTGTTTTGTCTTATAATTGGTGTGGTTTTTTTTTTTTCATACTATTCAAGACTAATCTTTTTCACATAAGCAAATGTAATGTACATTTATCTCTGAACGAATTGTTAATCATTTAGAATACCCATGAGCTTTGCCTTTCACTCATTTTTAATATTCCAAGAACCATTATACACTGAGTTAGAGTGTTAGCTTAAACTCTCTCATTTTTTTATTTTTACTTTTTCTGACATCTCTGAAAAATAGATGAATCATAGATGCATTCTATATGGGCATCATTAACATGTAAAATAACTGTACTTTTAGTATCCTTGAGTTTCCAAAAACAAGCTTTCTATCTTATTGCTACCTGAGAAGTGAAATTAAGCAGATTATATGTGATCTATACATTATACAATATTGGTTTTCTATATTTCAATAATTTATTTTTCTGAAAGTATATGGAAGACAGTTCCCAATTGCAATCACAAACTCTCAGATGATACAATGGTTGACTTTCTAAATTCCCTACAAATCTTTGTTTTATGCTGTTCCTTTCAAAATATTTTAATGAAGAGTGAAAGTTGACTTTCCTAGACATGAAGATTATTTTAATTTCAAGAGAAAAATCTCCCAATTAATCAAAACCAACCTTTAAACATTCTCATCATCACACTATATATGGAAAATCTAGAACTTAAAATAGGGCTGGATGCACATCAGCAAAGCCAGTCATGAGCTAGACAGAAACCTCACTCAGCCCTCAAAGGAAGTGAGGCCCTTCTGTTATGATGGTGGTTAGTCCAGAAGCCTCTTCAGGTTTCAGATTCCATCATTGAGAAAAGCTCTTGAGAAACTCAGCTCAAACACATAGGGGGACACAGTAGGAGCTCAAGTAAAGGGCAGTGTAGCAGTAGAAAGGTCTCTGCAAGTGCTGTTCTAGAACTCAAGGAGGACCAAGAGTAGGGAAGGAATCTGGTGACACCCCACTGCCCATGACTTTTTTTTTTTAACCTCTCTTGTGGAGACCAGGCTAGTCTTAAACTCACAGAGATCCACCTCAACTCTACATCTCATAAGTTGGGGATAAAGTTGTCCTCCACCAAGCCCAGTGTCTACAACTTTTATTTTAAAATAAAATACACTTGAAATCAGTATAGTGATTGTGAGAAAAATAACATTTTTCTTAAACATAAAGGTAGCCTACATTTTGGGTGTACAATGGCAACAGTCAACAGAAGCTACAATTATGAATAGTGTATTTTTAAAGATGATAAAATGGACTGGAGAGAGAGCTCAGCAGTTGAGCATTGGCTGCTCTTGCAGAGGACCCAGGTTCTATTTCCAGTACACACATCAGTGCTAACACCCATCTGTAACTCCAGTTCCTGGGGATTTGGTGCCCTCTCTAGCCTCCGCAGGCTTTGTGTAGCACGGTCCACTTACGTACATGCAGGCAAACACACATAAATAATTTTTTAAATGTTTAAAAAAGATAAAGATGATAAAATGAATGCTATTTCTCAAATTCTTATAGTAAGCTAAGAATTTAAAAGTTGACCGCTTAAGGACCAACAAACTCCTTAACCACGGTATTAAAGATGTTGCTTAGGAAAATTACCCTCTTAAAAATTCTATTAGAGGTTGTCTTGTGTTTTCCTTTCAACCCAGTATTTCTAATGTTAATATTGAAAACTTCAAAATATGTACATCTATTCTCTTATTAAAAGTAGCCTAAATATGTAGGAGGACCTCTCCAACTGAGAATTCCCTAGGTACACAACCCTATTCAATATTTGAACAATGGCTGGTCTACGTGTGCTGTAAAAGATGAAGTAGATTAAACCTGAAGTTTGATACTGGAAAAGGATAGTGCTTCTATAATCTTAGCACCAGGGAGGTAGAGGCAGGAGAATTAGGAGTTCAGGATCACCCTAAGCTACTGGTGAGCTTAAGGCCAGCCTGGGTTACACTGAAACACTGAACAAACCAGAAAAGGGATATGTCTTAATGCTATATTGATTATGGTTTCAATTATAGGTATGTTGGGTTGAATAAAATATATTATCAAAATTAATACTGCCTTTTGTTTGTACTTTTAAATATTTTTATTTTTTGTGTATGCGTGTATTGCCTCCATGTAGGTAAGTGTACCCGTGTCGTGCAATGCCCACAGAGGACAGAAGAGGCTGTTGGATCCTCTAGAACTGGAGTTATGGACAGTTGTTAGCTGCCATGTGGGTGCTGGAATTCGAACCCAGGTCTTTGGCAAGAACAACCAGTGTTCTTAACAACTGAGTGATATCTCTAGCCCTATTTGTTTGTACTTTTTAAATGTAGTTAATAATAAATTTTAAATTACATGTATGGTAGCATTATTATCTGAAGTTACTAAACAGTGCTTCTCCAGATTGAACCTAAGACCTGGTTCTGCTTATTAAATGAGGAGAGGGGGCTGGAGAGATGGCTCAGAGGTTAAGAACACTAACTGTTCTTGCAGAAGACCTGGGTTCGAGTCAGCACCCACATGGCATCTAACAACTGTAACTCCATTTCCAGGAGATCCGACAGCCTCTTCTGTCTTCCGTGGGCATTGCATGACATGGGTGCACTTACCTACATGCAGGTAATACATGCATACAAATAAAATAAAAATAGTTTTAAAAATATATTTAAAAAAGAAATGAGAGGTGCTAGAAGGGATGATGGCTCAGCAGTTCAGAGCATTGACTGCAGAGGACCCTGGTTCACTTCCCAGCACCTACCCAGCTAACAGTCATCTTTAGCTCCCATTCTGGGAGTCCAGTGCCCTCTTCTGGCCTCTGCCGTCATTTGTACATACAGGTACTTACTACATACATGCAGGTAGAACACTCTTACACATAAAAGTAAAATAAATACAAATGTATTAAAAAGACGAAATGAGTACAGTTAAACCAGGTCCATAGATGCAAACGAATACAGATAATATTAAACTAAGTGCTTAGTGAAGCATTAGAAGTGTTAAATTGTACCAAGTCTAAACCTGTCCAATTATATTGCTGTCTGCATTTGAAAAGTGTTGGCTCCTTAAGAAAGAATGGGGAGAGTGCATATTTAATCAGGATCCCTCAGACCATCTAGACTGTCCTGCAGAGGAATCATATTTCTTTCTAACATGGTGAGGAAGCAGAGCAATAGAGATTTTTGATAATGCAAGAGCTATAACAGTAATTCACTGCATGCTTCCCAAAGCTGTCAACAAGTGATTTGTAGAAAAATTAAACCTTACTGCCTTGTAATTTGAGTAAGGGAGCAAATGAAAAATTTCCAAAGTCCTAAATTTTTAATATTTTATTTATTATTTTTATTTTGTGTGTATGCGTGTATTGCCTGCATGTAGGTAGGTAAGTGCACCTGTGTCATGCAATGCCTGTGGAGGAAGAAGAGGCTGTCGGATCCCCTGGGACTGGAGTAATAGACAGTTGTTAGCTGCCATGTGGGTGCTGGGATTCAAACCTGGGTCTTCTGCAAGAACAACCCCTATTCTTAATCACTGAGCCATCTCTCCAGCCCAAAGTCCTAAATCTTACCGTTTCTTTTTTTATGTTTTGACACATTATTCTTGGAATCTAAATATTGGGGTGGGAAGAGTGGTTCTGTATTTTATTTTACTTTAACAAATACCTATTCTATTCTAGATGGAGTCCGCACGCAAGGCATGGGAGAATTCTCCAAATGTAAGGGAAAAAGGATCTCCAGTAACATCCACAGCTCCTCCTATTGCAAGTGGAGTCAGCAGTAGTGCCAGTGGGCCAGGAACTGCTAATTACAACTCATTCTCCAGTGCATCAATGCCTCAGATACCTGTCGCTTCAGTCACTCCTACAACATCACTATCAGGTAGAAAATTTTCATAGCTTTCCTTAAATACCTTTGTTGTGTATGGCACTGAGGATTGGATCTACTGCATCCTGGACAAACACTCTACCACTGAGCTACAAACCCCAGCTGAAATATCTTGAACTATTTAGAATTTTTTTGTAATCTATTAAAAACTAAAGATTAATGAAACTTCCTCTAAATTTTTCTGTGAAGTTCATCTTTTGTCATTTTTACTATATCCAAATGATATGAGCTCAGAAATAACAGACTCCCACAGGATTTAAATGTGTTTGGTTTCTGTTTTTTCAGTCTTATTTAAAGGTAAGGTGTAAACCTCAACGGTTTAGTAAGTTATATTTTCTACTGACAAATTAGGTATAGAATACTTCTAGCCTCTATTCCCTGAGTGATAATGAAGGAGAGTCTGTCATTGCCTGAAGTTAGAAGGTACCAGTCTTTGCCTTTGTTCTTAAATTTTTGTTGAACCATACATTTGGAGGCTTTGTAATTCTTAAAGAATTGCAGATGTATCTAAAATGCTTGACTTAGCTGTACGTAGCCATGTTTCGTTTCTTAAATATAGCCATTTTATTTCAGGCTTTTGCAATAATTCTCTGATGCTTCCAAAGCAGTGGAAAATGCCTTTCCCATGGATACAAAATATGCCCTCCCTTTAAAGAATTTGCTCTCTTTGATTTTTATTTGGTGATTAGTGTTGTTTTTTAATATTCTGGCATATTGTGCTAGTTTTGGGAGCCTATTCCCCCACTGATGTTTGGTATCAAAATTTAAGAGGTTGAGGCAGGAGGACTGGAAAGTTGAAGCCAGCCTAGACTAAATATGGAAACCCTGTCTCAAAAAAAAAAAAATTTACCTCAGATGATTCCTGCATTATAATTCCATGCCAAGCTGGGTGCGGTGGTGCATTCCTTTAATCCCAGTACTTGGGAGGCTGAGGTAGGCTCTGTGAGTTCAGGCCAGCCTGGTCTACATAGTGAGTTCCAGGCCAGCTGGGTTTACAGGGAGACCCTGTCTCAAAAAGACATAAAAGTATCTTCTAGATTAGCTCAAATCCCAGCCTACTTTAGTGGGGACTGGCATAACACAATCAAGGACATTGGAATTGCAGGGCCTAGGAAGGTTCCTTGTTCTTTTCTTTATGATCCTTTTCCCAGGGTCTAGATTACCTCTGTTGTATTGTTTAGGGAATAACAACAAGGATAAAAATCTGTGCATGCATGCACAATTTTTTTTTTTTTTAATAAAGGCAGGGTTTCGTGGAACTTTTAACATAGCATAAAGATGATCTGATCCTCCTGCCTCTACCCCCTGAGTGTTGAGGTTTCAGGAATTGTGTTACCTTGCCTGGTTTATGTAATACTAGGGATAGAACCTAAGGCTTCATGGCATCCTAGGAATGCATGCAGTTCTCCTAGTTGGGCTGTATTCCTAGCACCTGAGACATTCTTTTTTCTTTCCCCCAAATATTTTTGATCTGTGGTTACTTAGTACCTCAAAGTAAATAAGACTCATAGAATCAGAGTACCTGCTGTGACTATAAATGATAGGTATAAACAGTGAACATGCCGTATTTTCTCCTTCCCCAAATACAGGAGCCGGTACTTACACTACCTCCTCTTTGAGTACAAAATCTACAACAACATCAGACCCTCCTAATATTTGTAAAGTAAAGCCTCAACAGTTACAGACGAGTAGCCTGCCTTCTGCAAGTCATTTCTCACAACTAAGCTGCATGCCTTCTCTTATTGCCCAGCAACAACAGAGTCCACAAGTTTATGTTTCTCAGTCAGCAGCAGGTAATATTTCTCGTGTTGATTATAAAGAATTTAGAAAGTGAAGACTTAAATGCTTTTTTTCTCCCCTTAATCCTTTTCAAGCTTAAATATTTTTAATGGACTTTGTAAATATGTTGAATTGAATCTTACCCCTTGGTGGAGAGAAAACATGAATAGCAAAGAAAAAAGTTGTAATGATGGGGTGGGGTATCTGATCCCACTGAATACACAGTGGTCATCTGAGACCTTTAAATGTATTAGTGGTTTTAATACATGAATAGCAGTTTTATATATAGGAATTTTATGAAATTCCTATCTGATAACTTTAAGGGTAGTTATTTGAAATTTTTGTAATGATTACAGAATGATGTGTGTATCTCCAGAATATAATTACACAAAAGCAGCAAAACACAAAATTGTATGTTTGTCATGTAAATGTCTTGATCTAGTCTAAACTTTTAATTACCCAATACTAGTTCTTTTGAAATATATTGCTCAATTCTAGTTTAAAATTGGAATGGATTTGCTGGTTCAGTGGGTAGGTTCATTTTTCATTTTATGTCAAGTATTAACAGCATATACCCAATTGAGAACATGAGGAAATCTATTTTTCTGTAACTGGATTGTACTAAATACAGTGTTTTTAATTTACATGTGCTTATCTGGTTGAAGTTTTGTTTTTACATTTCCATCTTTTTATATTTCTACTTTTTCTGTGGTCATTTTTCAGAGGGCTCACTTTAATTTGAATCTGCTACAATTTTTTTTTAGCTATTATAAATAATTTGGTATTTTACTGTTTGGAAAATTCAGAAATTCAGACGCTTGTTTTTCCTGATGGTCTATAGCTCAGATCCCAGCTTTCTATATGGACACGAGTCATTTATTCAATACCCAGCATCGACTGGCCCCACCATCCCTCGCTCAGCAGCAGGGCTTCCAGCCAGGCCTCTCGCAGGTAAGCTCTAGATTTCATCCATCCTTTATTCCTTCATACTTTTTATAATATCTCAGACTCCTTAAAGTTATATATTGTTCATTTTGAGTAGGCCATTAGCAAAATTTTCATGTCTAGAGGGGTTTTTTTATTTTGTTTTGTTTTGCCTTGTGTTGTGATTCGCATGTATGTATAAGGCTTGAGCCTACTTATATATGCTTTTTTTTTTTAATTGCATTTCAGCCAACATCTGTTCAGCAGATTCCAATTCCTATATATGCCCCACTGCAAGGGCAGCATCAAGCCCAGCTGAGTTTGGGGGCTGGTCCTGCTGTTTCCCAGGCCCAGGAATTATTCAGTTCTTCAATTCAACCATATAGGTAACTACTTTAAAAGTTGTTTATATTGTGGGGCTGGAGAGATGGCTCAGTGGTTCAGCACACTGACCGTTCTTGCAGATGACCCAGGTTCAGATCTCAGCACCCACATGGCAGCTAACAACTGTCTGTACCTCCAGTTCCAGGGGATCCGACAGCCTCTTCTGTCCTCCACGGGCATTTCACGACACAGGCGCATCTACATGCATGCATCACAAACTCATACACATAAAATAAAAACAATAAAATATTTTTTAAAGTTGTTTATATTGTTTGAAATAGTGTAATTGCTGTTTACATAATGCCTAGTGCTAATTCCTTTCCCCTCAAAACCCCAGATGACCATGTTATAGACTACATTAAGTAATTAGGCATGTTCATTGTGTATTTGCAAGCCTCAGTCTCTAGTGGTTTCATCTAGACTTGTTTTCTTTTGGTTTTGTACATGGTTCAGATAGCATGTCTATAATAACCTTGTGGGCAGTCCTGATTAGAGCTGCTGTTTCCAGGCATGGTGATTTATGCCTGTCGTCAGTCCAGGCACTTAGGAGGCAGAGGCAAGTTTGAGGCCAGCCTGGGTGACAGCATGTGATCTTACCATATAAGCACAAGGCTCTTACTTTATTTTGTACCGGTCTTAAGACCCTATGTATAGCGAAGTACTTAATAAGGTACAGATAATAAAGGATCATTCAGTGTTATAGCTTAATATGTAATGTCACCAAAGAGAAAACTAGGTTTGGCTTTCATTTTGTAGTGAATCAGTTGAGATAAAACATAACTAGTTTCCCAGGAAGAGCAGGTCCGCCCCCCACCCCCCACCCTAAGATCTTTTACGTGTGTGACTGTTGTATAGAGATCTCTAAATCTGTCTCTTGCCATAGACATAATATGTCTTCCCCTCCTTATTGCTAATTGAGTACTTGGTCATTTGGAGTATTTGTTCTTAAGATCTTCACATTCTAAATAAAATTAATGTATAGCATAGATTTTCCTTCTTATCATGTAGGTCACAGCCAGCCTTTATGCAAAGCAGTCTATCCCAGCCTTCTGTGGTTCTTTCTGGTACTGCCATCCACAACTTCCCAGCTGTCCAACACCAGGAGCTTGCCAAGGCACAATCAGGTCTTGCCTTTCAACAAACTTCAAATACTCAGCCTATCCCTATACTGTATGAACATCAGCTGGGGCAGGCATCAGGACTAGGAAGTTCTCAGCTGATTGATACACATCTTCTTCAGGTAAGGTGGGGGTCAAAACAGCACATATTCATTTTGATCTTAATTTTTTAAGATTATTTTTTAAAATGTTCTGTAATAGGTGGATATTTAAAGGTACAATGAAAAATCAATGATACTTGGCCGGGGGGGGAGGATTTTTTGGTCTTTTTGAGACAGGGTCTCCCTGTAGCCCCAGCTGTCCTGGAACTCACTATACAGAGATCCGCCTGCCTCTGCCTCCTGAGTGCTGGGATTAAAGACTAAAGACGTGTGCCACCACTCCCGGTGGTTTTAAATGTTAACTAACATTGCTAATCATAGTGTTGAAATGGATAACCTCCTTCTCAGTTTTTCTTCTGTTTTCTTGTAAAAAAAAAAACTTTTCTAGGCTAGAGCAAATCTTACTCAGGCCTCAAATCTTTACTCTGGACAAGTACAGCAGCCTGGTCAGACAAATTTTTATAACACTGCCCAATCACCAAGTGCTCTTCAGCAGGTAAACTATGGCATGGTAAATTTCCTCAATTTTATTATTATTTTTATTATTTTTGTTATTCTTTGAAAATTTATGTAGAACCAAGGTGGACGAGGTAGTTTTCACACTTTACTAAATATTCTGGGAATTCCAGTGGATTGATTAGGAGTGGAAGAAGTTTCACTCTACCCTCACCCTGTATTTCATTAACTTCTGGTTTTACCTCTTTTGGCAGGGGATCAGGGGAGCTGGGTTTTGGCGTAATTTAGCAAACATAAAAGTTTGAAAGCCATTTTTCTAGAATATGATAAGTGGTATACCCATTAGTATTAGCAGTGAAGACACTAAACTGACTTTATAATCCTTTGTATGCTATAGCAGAGTGACAATAAATGACAGCACCTTTTTTTTAAGTGTATGGGTCTGGTTACACTTACACTTTTCAGAAGAAAATGAGTTTGGTTTTTAATCTCCTGGCAATATTAATGCTCATTTAAACTTGGTAGGAGGCTAGAGAAGAAGGGCAAGCCATTGGTCATTTGTCTGTCATGACTTGTTGCCATTTTAGGAAGTGACAATTCATAAATATCTTACTGACAAATAAGATTTAAAATATAGTTTATATGAAATCAAGATTCTTGTCAACACTCATTTTGACTGAGCCTGAAAATACTGTAAAATATGTGGTGGAAGGAACTATAATTGTATCAAATATTTTGTGGTTATTTGACATGTATTGTGGTAACTTTAAAGGTATAATTATTTCATTTATAGAGTCCTTTACAAAAATTGTCATGTACCACATAATGTTTCCATCAACAACAGACTGCATGACAGTGGTCTTGATATCATCCACCAGTTGTGGTATTTACCTATTATTCTAACTATTCAGGTTGTTGAAATGGGTTATTGCTTGAGCACAGGGGTTTGAGATCAGCCCAGGAAACATTGTGAGACCTATTTGCGAAAAAGAAAATGTCATCAGATGAACTCCTAGCTATCATAATTTATGGATATTCAATCTTTTAATGTTGATACAAAGACAAAATTGCAAACACATTTCTCAACACCTGTTCTATCATTAAGCAATGTGAGTGTGTATTAGTGTCATACTGTAAAGAATAGAGATAACTTAGCTAAAGATTTGTATATTAGGTGTATTAGATAAAAGTATTCTATCTAAAATGTTATTTTAAAATTATTTGAAGATCTAGATATGTGTACATGTAGATAGATGTACACAACAATTATAAGCAAATAGCTACAGTTTGTCTTTGCTTCTTTTCTAGGTTACAGTACCTTTACCAGCATCCCAGCTTTCCTTGACTAATTTTGGATCTACAGGACAGCCTCTGATTGCTTTGCCTCAAACTCTTCAGCCCCAGTTACAGCATACAACCCCACAAGCACAGGCTCCAAGTCTGAGCCGTCCTGCACAAGTCAGCCAGCCTTTCAGAGGCTTAATACCTGCTGGAACACAGCATAGCATGATGGCAACCACGGGAAAAGTAAGTGAAGTGTGCATGTGTATGTGAGACTTCATTGCTGGTAGATTCTCAGTGTATAGATGGTGCTTTCTATTATAATGCCATGCATGCCATGACATGCACCTCCCACTCCCTCCACACACAATAAGGTATCATGGGGGTGGGGTTCTCAACAGTCCTGTTTCTGTCTGATAACAAAGAACTCACAAATCTTGTAGGAAAATTGGAATTACAGAATCTCTCAGACTTTAGTTATAAATCTACTTGACCTGATGGATACGAACCAAGTCCAGCTATAGAATTTTTTGCTAAAATTGTTATCTCTTTCCAAGACTAAGCTATCATATGTAACACATTAAACACAACACTTAGTTTGTGGAATTAAAAGAGTGTTAAGTTCGCTTTGTATTTTTTCTCAGATGTCTGAAATGGAGCTAAAAGCCTTTGGGAGTGGCATTGATATCAAGCCAGGCACACCTCCTATCGGTGGTAGAAGCACCACACCAACATCTAGTCCCTTCCGGTAAGCTAGACATTTAAATTTGCTTAAGAAATTTCAAAACAATTTGAATTTTTGAAGAATTTGATTATTAAATAAGTTAATATATCATCAGTCCTGTGCTAAGCAGAACAGTAGTATGAGACATTCATTTTATTATTTTTATATAAAATGCTAACACTAGGGGCCTGGAGACAGGATTGAGTGGTTGAGAGCACTGATGGCTCTTAATAGAGGACCTGGGTTTGGTTCCCAGCAGTGGTTAGCAACTGCTAGTGACTCCAGTTCCAGGGGATCTGATGCTTTCTTCTTGCCTCCGCAGGCATTTCATGCACATGGTGCACATAGATACTTGCAAAATGCTTGTACATATAAAATAAATCTCAAATTTTTAAAAATATTAACATTACGTATATTTTAAAAGTATTCTGTTACTACAAGCACGGGTTTTCTTCCTTTCTTACCTTTGCCTTTCCAATGTTACCACCATGTTCAGGAAATTTTCATCAACCACCAAATATGAAAATATCAAAGAAAATAACCTCTAAAAATCTAATAGCATTATTTATTACTCTACTGACCAGTGATGACTTTTTTCCAAGGGCTACTTCAACAAGTCCAAACAGCCAGTCCAGCAAAATGAGCAGCATTGTCTATCAGAAGCAGTTCCAGTCAGCCCCTGCCACTGTGAGAATGACACAACCGTTTCCTACACAATTTGCACCCCAGGTAGGCAGACATTACGAAAAATGACTGCTCCTTGTATATGACTAATCTGACTAAATTTCTGATTTTATAACCTTAACATAGGTTAACCTGTTAAGACATACATCTTTGAATGAACATTTTCTGGTTTTGACAGTGAATTTATGGTACTCAGATATGCTATTTTTGTTTTTTTATAGACATAGGTAGCAATTGTCTCGTTTTAAAGCAGACACGAAATATTCAAAGGATTCCCCACACAGCTCTGACAATTTGAGTCCTGTTCCTTTTATCTTTTTTAAGGAAGTTTTTTTCAGCGAAGGGTCCCAGTGCTTAAGTTTTTCTAGGTATTTGTGCAGTTGAAGTCAAATTTTCAGGATGTTTTTTTAACAAATGTGTAAAAATGTTGACTTTTTTTCCATTTGCTGATCATATTGAAAGACTAAAGTTGATAATTTACAAACTATATTTGGTTCCTAAGAATATTTGTTGAATTATTATTTATCTTCACATTATGTTTAGTATAGATGTGTGCCTTTTCTGCAATTGTACCTTTTAAAGACCTGTACCCTAATTATAAATAACCGTTCTATGCCCCACACCCTTAGAATTTGAATTTGCAGCTGAAGTGCCATAGCATGCTTTGCCTAGGTTTTCTGTTAAACACTACAAGCATGGCCTATTTGTTCTTTGCTCTTGTACATGGAATGGCATGGTCCATAAACTTCTTTCACTGGCAGAATGGGCACAGATTTACTCTGGGATAAGCCAACCTGATCTAGTTGGCTTTTTTTTGTTTTTTTTTTTTTTTTTTTTTTTTTTTTTTTTTTTTTAACAGTTCAATGTTGTATGTTTTGTTTTTTCACTCAGATTCTCTCTCAGCCTAACCTGGTCCCTCCATTGGTAAGAGCCCCACATACTAACACCTTCCCAGCGCCTGTACAGAGGCCACCAATGGCACTGGCCAGTCAGATGCCTCCTCCGCTGACCACAGGCCTCATGAGCCATGCTCGTTTGCCACATGTAGCCAGGGGTCCTTGTGGATCACTATCTGGAGTCAGAGGTAATCAGGCCCAGGCTGCGTTGAAGGCTGAACAAGACATGAAGGTTAGTACAGTATTAACAGACACCAGAGGCAAGAGTCTGTCTCTGAATCTATCTTAAAATGCCTCTGGACTTAGAACCATATATCCAGGCATTCATTGTCTTACTAGACTTAACCAAGTTTACTGCTTTTATTTGTTCCTTTTATTATTTTTCCCCCATTTTTTTCTCCCTCCCCTTTTCCCCCTTTTTATGCCTCCCCCCCCCCTTTTGCCACTATTCAGAAAACAGATTAATATTTTAAACTCTGGCCAAATGAAATACTTATAAAATATATGTTTCAGGGAAATCTGAGTTTGGATTCAATATTTTTTTAAATATAAAAGGTAATATGGATATTACAGGATTCCCCAGGGTTTTTGGGTATTGTTTTGTTTTTTGTTTTTTTGTTGTTGTTTTTTCTTGTTTTCTTTCCCTCCCTCCCCTTTTCCCCTCCCCCGTGGAGCTTAATAATCATGGTTATATGAAATCTCTGGAATGGGTAAGACATGTTAGCTGTCTCAATTTTTATTCCTTCATGAGTCTTTGAGTAGTTTTCTTAAATTATTTTTGCATCTTTCTTTACCTGCCACTTTAGGTGGCTGTGTTCCAGAACATACTGTGCAGATGTAGGTAAACTCAAAAAAGCACTTTGGGATCCTTCATGGTGAAAGGCACGAATAAACATAGGGCTGCCAAGGCAGAGGAGTGCCTTTAGGAGCCTGTGTGGAAACAGTTCTCAGCATAAACCTTACCTGTCTGCCTATACAGCCAGTTGGAGTTTATTTCTGTAACTACTTTAGGGCTGACTTTTAAAATCTTAGTAATTTTATTTGTCTTATCATAACGTAATTTAGACTAGAACAAATAAATAAATAAAGGTGTAGTACTTACAGTCAGGGAAATGTGCATAGTAATGCTTTACTCTGAATTAGAAACATGTTTGTGATAAGCCTATTAACGAAGTCAATTAACTGACTAAAATTTCTTGATTGACTTTCTTTGTTTCTAATGCTGAGTAATCAAATTTAAAGACTACCCTACAGCAACTCTTGTTAAATGTTATTTAGCTTTGCTAGACTGTGTGCCTAAGGCTTTCATCTGTTTGTTACTACTAAAATACTAGCATAAAAAGATTGGGATATTGTTTGGCCTTCTGCTCCCAGCTACTTGCCACTTGAATTTCACACGTTCTCATGTTAGAAATGGCATTAGAGCTTAATAATATTAATGGGGTGGGATAGTATACAAATTTCTTGGAAGTTACTTTGAGATCTTTGGATAGTACAGGTTACCTATAGAACATGAAGGGTGTTTTTTGTTACATGCAAGAGGTATAGAAGGTTTTAAATTGTGTGTGTTACAGTGGTATAATTTACAGATTAACGTAAGTATTCTTTGGGACACATAGTCAATGAAACTAAGAAATTATTTACCAGCTCAGAATGTGGTAGGAGCTATCAGAAGTTAGTGATCAAGTGAAGTTGTAGTTACTAATTTCTGATGCTCTTCCCCTGCAGAAGAGAGCTGTGGGAAGAGGACTCAGCCACAAGACATTTGGTCCTAGGTGTTGGTAATGCCACAATATAAGTGCTTCCTTTTCATTTTATTGTAGACCACATATTGATAACTAGAAATTTTTAAGTGTTACATATATGTTTTCAGACTTGCTAGCAGCCTCCCTGAATAAATTTTAATACCAGTAAGCTGTTCCAAAAAAGATAACAAACCAGCAGCGATGTAACTTTGTTGTTTATAAGAGGGCAGACTCTAGAAAAATGGTGGGAGGTGGTTTTGTTTCAGGTATTTTAAATCACATAGAATGTTTTCAAAGATAGGAGAAGTCTGCATTAAAAACTGAAAGATCAATGAAGTGCTTTTTGGCTTGGGCCAAACCAACTTGGGGAAAACTCATTTTTGTGATTGGTAAAAGAATTTGAACCGAGATTGATTTGACAGGCTTTGGTAAAGTTGCAGTGTTTTCAGTTCTTGTTTCTCATTTTTTAAGGCAAAGCAGAGAGCAGAGGTTCTTCAGTCCACGCAACGGTTCTTCTCTGAACAACAGCAGAACAAACAGATAGGAGGCAAGGTCCAGAAAGTGGACAGTGATTCGAATAAACCTCCTGAAACACTGACTGACTCTCCTGGTGCGTGTCAGGAAAAAGTAGAAGAAAAGCCACCTCCTGCACCCACCATAACCACCAAACCTGTTAGAACTGGACCAATCAAACCTCAGGCGATCAAAACCGAAGAAACAAAATCTTAAAGGCTGTGGTTTATTGTAGGGCATTAAGGGAGAGGGGAGGGGGGACAGGGAAAATGAAGTCAGATAATGCCAGTGGCCACAGAGGTAAAATGGTCTGTGACATCCTGTCTAAAGCTTGGAGGTACACAAGGGACATGAGAGCATTTTACTGCCGTGCCAGTTAAAATGAGGCTTTACAAGCTTGCACCTACTATGTAACATTTGCTCGGTTGACATGATCTTTGGTCAGTTTATATACAAGTACGTGCACCTATTCCCTAAGTGCATATAATTTAGACCTAAAGATCTCTGTGATGAGATGAAAACCAGAAATAGGAAAATGATACCACAGGGGAGTAATTCAGCCTGGACAGTGAGTAGTCCCATTACCACATCAGCTGTGGTTTCTTTACACCCTTGTGTTCTTTGGATGTGGCTGTGGCATTTCTAGGCTTGGAGGTAAACTGACAATAACTGGTGCTGGACAGAGGAGCCTTATTTTTTATTATGGCAGCTTGCTATTTTTGTAATGTGACTGGGTTGAACACAATCAAAGTACAGTAGTAACTGATCTCCCCTTCCTGGATGAGTGAGCAGATGATGAAATACTGATGTCAGCATCCTTGAGCATATTCACATGAGCATCATTTAGCTTCTGCTTCTATCTGAAATGATGCTGTGTTTCGATTGTGGTCAGAAGCACTGAAGCTCGGCATCTCCCCCCTTCCTTGGAGCTCTCCCCATTCAAACAGGACAGATTGGGTAAAGTACTAGTGAGGTGGAGTCTTGCTTGCCTCCACTCAGTCATCTTTGTATGAATCCAGTAGTTATGGAGTTTTGTTTTAGGATAATTTTTTTCTTGGTGTCTCCCCCAACTCCGTGGTTTTTTGGTTTTTTTTTGTTTGTTTGTTCGTTTTGTTTTTTAATAACGGTTTTTAGCTGATGTTCATGAAGAGAGTGAATACTGAGATCTGTGCCACTAATGAAAGGAAATCTGTCTAAGAGTGCACTTCCTTACAGAGCTGTGTCATACCATACTTTGGGCCCTCTGCTAGAAAAGTAGAATCAAGTTTCAAATAATGCCTTTTAAATTGTATCCTCTAGTATTATAGATGTAGGACTGTACTGTATCATACCTCTATGAATGTAAAATATCTTGTACCTGCTTTATGATGCGTAGTAGTGACCGTGCTTTATCAGAGCTGTTTTTAATGATGTTACTCAGAATGTTTTCTTTCTAGATGATTAAAAAGCTAATTAAAAAAAAAAATGGTGCCAGGTACCACAACAGTAACAGAACTGTGCTGTTTTCTGGGATTTTGTTTTTTACTTTTTTTTTTTTTAGTGTGCTAGATGTCTCTACAATTTTGTCCAAATGACTGCAGAACCTGGCAAAGCTGTTGCTGCTATTAAAGGGAGGGGCACTAAATAGGCTGACTAGACCTCAGTGGTTGAACTTGCACTGACAGACATCAGGGGACACTAACTTGACTCACTAGGCCTTAATACAAATGTCAGAATCCATGAGATACGGTGGGAGGGATTGTGGGAGGGTCCCAATGGGGAAGGAGGTTTAAAGATGATTATGATGTTCTGCATGAAATACACAAAAATTCAATCAAAAGTTTAAAAACAAAAAGATGAAGCGCTTATTATCACGTATCTTACCTGCTATGCTGCTTCTGTTTCTGCTCAAAGATTTTGTACAGGGGTAACGCACTGTATTAAATATGTAAGGTCTTATCTACGTGGGTTTGATTACAGAAACTAATAAAGTATTCTCTAAATAATGAATTTTGTATCTTCTAGTCCATTTCCAAAGTCCAGAGCAAGGCCTGTTGTGTCTACAGATAACCTGTAGCAAGCACTCTTATGCCCTAGGAAAAAATTGTCATCTGGGAGGTGATTTCTGCCTTGAATTCCAGTTGAAGTCATTATTGTAGTGGAGGATAGTAGTTATAGCCCCTGTTCTCAGCATAGTCAAACTTGGGTTTGATTGGGTGGTAGAGGCAAGAGGAGAATGGAGCAGTTCCAGGTCATCTTCAGCTAGATAGCAAATCTGAGGCCAACCTGACTTACATGAGACCCTGTCTCAAAAAAAAACAAAAACAAACGGCAGCCTCAGAAACCCTAGAATTGAAGAGTCAGGTAAGAAGGAGTCTCCTTGTCTTAATGGTTTAAACTGCCAAATAGAGAAAAGTCTCACCAATCTTCTTGGGTAGAAATTGAAATAAACCTGAATATTTACATTTGTGTTTGCTCATAGTTTTGTTAGACAATTCATAGTCATTACCATCATTTGCTGAGTTGGCAAAACAGAGCTTTTGTTTTTGGAAAACCTCTGCATGTGTGTATGTGGGATACTTTGCTTTTAGACTGAGCTTTAGCAGAACTTGTCATTCAGTCACTAATAATACGTGCCTTTGGCTACTCTGTGGTCCTTAACTCTTAAAAAGCTCAAGGACTATGACCTAAGCTTTCAGGTCTAAGATTTTCTAAAAATAGGCTCTAAACTAAAAACTCGGAGTCGGGCGTGGTGGCACCTCCTTAGGCTTGTCCTGAGGAATTGGGGGAAGCATGATGAATAAAGTTGGAAGTGCAAACTGAGCTAAAGAGCTGTAGTCACCATACCATGTATTGCCTTCTTACTATCACTTCTGTTGCCAGGACTTTGCATATTCTAGTCCTCAAGTTTAATCTTCCAAAGTTTTAGGACATAAGAGGTAAACAGTTATATAGTTTGCACTGTCTCTACATGCCAGTAGACATGTACTACTCCAGTGTACTGAAGTAGGATACCACGGATCCATTTGCCTAGGTCTACAATGGAAAACAACGAAAGTGTGTTGGATTTGTATAAGTGCAGTTTGCCCATGTAGAGCTTACTCTGGCTTCTGACAGCCAAGATACCCCCAGTTGCAGTCCCTCTAGCTGCTCTGGTAAATGGCAGAAGATGGAGGGAGTCCTCTTCTTTGACTTAGTTAATAAATTGTGCTTACGATGAAAGAGTGGTAAGAGTTGAGGGTAGGCTGCCAGAGGAGAAATGTGTTCAGGTGTCTTTAACAGGTCACTAGCTTTGTAGCTTATCAACATTGATTTGTATGCTTCACAGTTTTTCTGTTAGACAGGACACTTTTAATGCATAATTTGACAGTTATTTCTTATGTACTTTGAGACGTTTGGGCTGCGAAGTGTCTACCTGTGAAATGAAGTAGGAAAGATGGATAATGCCTTAGTGTTGGCACTAGCATTTGCATGTTCTTTGATGGGTTTGTTGGAGGCATGTGGTGATTTGTTAATTTGTTTTTTGAGCTGTAGCCCCAGCTGGCCTGGAACTTACTATGTAGACCAGGCTGGCCTGCCTCTGCCTCCTAAGAGCTGGGATTAAAGGTGTGGGCCATCACAACCAGCAGTTGAGTCTCACCTGGAAGGCCAGGCTGACCTCAAACTTCAACCCTTCAGAGTGCTGAGATTACTGTCAGTGTGTGCTGTGAGTTGCCGAAGAGATGTTTCCTTGATCACTTTTCTCTACTTCGTTGTACTTGTCTTCAGTCATAGCATAAGTGAAGGGCTGAGTCCAGTTTGGGAGCACAAAGCAGGGGTTCTGTATGGTTTTCCCTAAATACCCAGAACACAGATTTTAAAGTCTTAGAATATGATAAATAGAAATTCCCTGTACTTATAGCTGGCCTGTAACTCACTCTAGAAATCAGGCTGGTCTTGATCTCACAGTGATCTGCCTGCCTCTGCCTGTGCTGGAATTACAGGCGTGGGCCACCATGCCTGCCTCAAAGTGATTTTTTTTTTTTTTTTTAAATACAATCTTTTTGAGACTGACCTCAAACTTAATGGGAATTGCTTGCCTTCTGAGTGCTAGAATTAAAGAGGTGTGTCACCACCTCCAGCTCTTATTAATGTTTTATGAAGCAAGGTGGCAACACATGACACAATGCACATGTGAAGGTGGCAAGTTCTTCCAGGTGAGTCATCTCACCATTTCCTAAGTAGAATTATATTCTAACTGGGACACCTTTACTGGTTTATGGGCCCAGAAAGCTGAAGTGAGATTTTTCTTAGGGGGTGGGGAGGCAGAGTGAGAGAATCGACTTAATCAGAGCTCATGGTTCTTTTCTGGTGGAAGTTTCAATGTCAAGGACAGTGTAGGAGTACAGAAACATTTATTTTGACCTTGAATTTTGCCAAAAAAAAATACTGGGTTAACTTGAGACGGTTCTATGTAGAACCATTTATCTGGCTTATTTAGGCCAGTGGTTTTCAAATTGAAAAAGCACTTGAAATTAAACACTTCCACTCAAATTTTGCTCTCTAAAGGATTTAGTGATTATAAATATAGCACTGTGAATACAGTTGACTGGGTCCAGGGAGGAGCCCCTGGAACCCCTCTCCACTCATGTAGGCAGCACAGAACTGATACTCTCTGGTACTCACTGGTCAGCCTTAGGCTTCCATAACCTGGAAGTCATGTGTGTGGTAGTTTCTTAGTAACCATGACTTGGTTACCAGGATTTCAGCTAGGAAAAACAGAATTAGTACTAAACGTCACACTTCCCTCAGTAGCCCATAATCAGGGCATGGTTCAAATGCTTGGGTTTTGTGCCTTTGGGAAACTACAGTGAGATAGTCAAGAAACCTGGAATGGCTCCTGAGTAGGCTTCCCCACAGGGCAGTCACATTCACATGGATGGGGAGAACTTCATATCTCCACCCCTAAACCCCAGAATATATATGCAGTATCTAAACTTGTCAGGCATTGTATTTGCTTAGTCCTAAATGTTTAAAGCCAAAAGGTTGGACCCTACAACTTCATCTGTCACCTGACTCAATACCCTTAATTTTCCTACAGAAACATGAGTTGAGTGGGAACTGCAAGTTTTGGCCCAGTTTTGAGTCTCCAGTACCATCTAGTTAACACAGGCATGCAACAGTGGACAGAGGCCAGGAAAAGAAACAAGAACCTTACTGTTAGGCTTTAGGTAACAGCGTAGAGAGATAGGAGAATCAAAGGAAAGCCATGCTGACATCCCAGGTACACAGTCTGGTTCTGTGCAAAAATAGTTCAAGATGAGAGATCTGCAGTTTCTTCCTAGCTCACTGATGACATCTTGAGACAGGTTATATCCACAAACTTAGAACACAGACCTGTACCTTTAGGCCAGATCTAGTAGCCTGAATCAGGCCATACTTCCCTGCAGCTCTTAGACAGTTTAGGTGTGGCCGGGCATGGTGGTGCACGCCTTTAAGTCCCAGCATTTGGGAGGCAGAGGCAGGTGAGTCCCTGTGAGTTCAAGGCCAGTCTGGTCTACATAGTTCCAGAGCAGCTGGGGCTACAGGAAGACCCTGTCTCAAAAAGACCAAAAAAGCATTCTGAGGCCCCATCATGTTTAGATTTCTATATATCGTATTGTCTAATGCTCTCCCACTTCAAGGCTCAATTGAGGTCTCAAGCCCCTGTCACTCTAATAATAATTTCATTAAAGGGAATTACATATCATCTTCCTTTCCAGACCAACCACTTCTGTTATAACACAAACTTTTGGCCAGAGGGAGCAGAAGCCTCAGCATTTCTATCCAGACTCCAAAGCCCCCACAAACTAACCCCGAACTAGGATCTGTGAGTGATCTCCCTGAGAATCAGCTGTGTACCCAAGAAGCTGGTTGGAGCTTGGATGTAGGCCTTGGGACACAGGTGTATAGTGGGAATGTGTACTGCACTGCAGAAGCATCTGTCTGGGAAGCACAGCCCATCCTCTGTAAAGAGGAGTGGAGCAGCTGAGTGTGAATGCTGGCGGTGGGCTGGGACAGAGATGTGGACAGGGCACACAGCATCAGTCAGTGTTGTGCCTCTGCCCTCCTTCCCATACAGACTGCACTAGTGACTGCTTTCTGTATGTGCCTCAAGAGCTAACCTGAGATTACCTGTGGAAACATGGCTACTTCCCTAACATTTCTGATAACCACATGGAAGATAGTGGAGTGCTTCTGTTAAGGGGCCAGTCAACCTGGTGGTCGATGGCTCAGCTGGTGGGAGCAGCTCCTAC